TCTTTACTCACCCTCCTCCACCGCGGAGATGTCCGCGGCGCGCGCGAGCGACTGCGCCCGGGGTCAGAGGGTGCGCGTCCGGCCGTCTGGGTGTGCGTCGGCGTGCTGGCCTCGGTGTGCCGAAGAGGCGTGCGCCGATGTGCATGTGATCCGGGCTGGGAATTACATCGTAGGCGCGCCTCGTGGGGTGCCAGCCGCGCGCGACGGCGGCCTGCACCTCCCCCGTGCTCCCCACACGCTCTCCTCTTCCCCGTACGCTACTCGCCCATGCCGTTGACGATGACGACGTCGATTACTCAGGGCCACGCTGTCGTGCGGGCCGAGGCTGTCATGGGCCCGGGGCGCATGCGTGCGACAGCAACACGTCGCGCGCAATCGTTCCCGTCCATTCTTCGCGTCCTGTTCCTTTCGCGCGGGATCTCCGGGCCGTTTTATTACGGGCTCACTATGGACCGTCGGGGCGGGGAAGCGGACGCGGCGGACGGCGGATATGAGGGATGTGCGTCTGGATGCTTCGTTCGCGAGGTGCACGTCATTGCGGTGAGTGCGGCTCGCAGTGCTTCAAGTGGGCGGGCGGTGTGTGGAAATTCGACGCTCCTCACGACCTGATTGTTGGGAGGGGTCCTCGAGGCGGTTTTTTTCCCTGTACAATCACCGCTGATTTGCGCTCAGTGTATATGGGCGGGAGCACAAGCGCATATCGCGCACGTTGCGGTCCGTGCAGTTATCAGCTGTAATGAGATTGTGCTCCGTAATGAAGGAAACACGCCAATGCGGATCCTTACCGCACGATTTCCACGTATGCCGTGGTTCTGCCGTGGCCGAAGACGTCCGTCCGTATCTGGCCTTCCCAGTTTGCGTCGGACTCGTGTCTCTTCCTCCGGGTCCATCGCATGCTGACGGTCTTCCTTGAGATACCGGTTCGTTTTGCAATTGCACTGACGGACGTACTGGTTCTGCACCGGCACCGCGCACCACCTCCAGCCAGAGATGAGCGCGCGGGCGGCGGCGCTCGGCGCGCCGCGCGTCCCTCCGTCAGTGTGCCCATCTCCACGGACGTCCCCGCGGCCCGTTCGCGCTGACGGCGTTTTCCTTCTCCATCCCCTTCTTGCGCAGGAGTGGGGGAGGACGCGGTGCAGCGGGGGAGCCAAGCGGGCGGGCGGGCGGGCGGGCGGGCTTAACCAGCAAGGATCATTCCGGCCAAGCCGAGTGCGCAGCAGGCAAGCGGGCGGCGAGCACACACGACGCAACACAGGCGTCCGCCGCACGCGTCGGCTCCGGTGTCTGCGTCGACCGCGCGGTCGAGTCACCGCTACCGGCGATGCGCTGCGCCCCGTCCCACCTCGCATCGCCCCGCTCGGCTGGGTGCGCTCAGTGCCGGACGTTGTACTATTCGCGCCACCGGCCGCAGGAGGGGCGGAAGCCCCGAAACCTGGGCGCTGGGCGCTGAGTCCGATCGAGCCCCGAGCCCCGAGCCCCGAGCGGGCTCGCGGGAACGCGAAGGCGAGAATTCGAACAGGCCCCGCAGCCCGCGGCGTTTGGGTGCTGTGTGCCGGTCGGGTGGCGCGGGCCGCGCAGGCTTCGATGCTGGGGCGTGGGGGTTCACGTGGTCCCTCTGGGCCTCGCGATGAGTGCTTCGGGGGAGGGGTGTCTCGGCGAGGTCACTGATAGCGCGTGAGGAAGTGCGGAGCTGGTTGCACCCGCTAACAAAAGAGAGACACACAGAGACCGGGGGCGGAAACAGGCGGAGAACCATGGTGAGTTCGGGTTCGTGACTCACGAGCACGGCTATCTCATGATCCATAGTCCGGACGATAGCAGGGCGCAGGACATAATGGTCAAGGACCGTTTCCGGGGAGCACGCCGGGAGCAAGGTCGAAGAACTGTCGCCCGCCGTTGCGGTCGGGGGCCTCGCCGGATAGGTTGATGAACGACGGAATCTTTTGCAGTGCAATAACAGAGAAGATGATGCGCGTGAGGGGGCAATGTTCAAATTCACACGGGAGAGGACCCGGTAGACCCTGAGATCCTGTAATGGTTTGGATACCGACCGTTGCTTTTTTTTCTTGAACTGACCACAATGCTGATTATCAGATGGAGCGAAGACGTTCTACTTCGCCAGCTGCGCGAGTGGCTCGGTGGATAGACCTCCGGATGCGCGGAAAAGGTGGCGGAGGTGAGTGGAAGGTCCCAGCATGGACGCGCAACTTTATGTGAACGATCCCGAGGCAGATTCTTAAAACGCTTCTGTGGCACAAGCTCTGGTTCTCGAGGGTTTCACCGAGCACTTTGGCCGTCTTCTGCGCATCTGCATATACCGGTATACCAACTGCGATGTGAGTTTCATTGCTGGGGACATGCAGCGTGGCTCATCGTATAACCCGATGCTCTGAAGACAAGACATCATGAGAGCGCGGACGGCAGCACATACGCTCTGACTGGCCTTCGCGCCGCTTCATCATCGGACCCGTGAGCGCCAGACACCCACACTGCGGAGGAAGAAGCTGTTCATACGTGCTTCCCCGCATCCCAACATCGTCGCATACCATCTCAATCGCACCTCCTCAGCGTAGAGTGCCGGGGCTCAACTCGCCAACGCTCCTGCCCCCCATGATCCGCACCGCCACATCTTTCTGGGTTATACCTGATCGACGCCTCATTGGGCTCCGCTCGCCGCCAACCACCACGCGGCCTACGTTCCCCGCGTGCGGCCAGATCTAGCAGCCTCCGGCCCAGATGCGTGCGTTACAGTACGTCTTGAGTCTTGCATGATGGCGGTAACTCGCATGCTGTCCAGTCGATAGCAGCTGTCTCCCCGGCGTGGGATCTGTGGAACACGCCTCTAAGAGGCTATGATGCCGGTGCGCGCGCCTTCGGCGGGGGGCGTCGTGCATTCTTCGCCCGTCTCAGACGTGCGTCACATGATATCATGTTTAGTGTTTGCTCGTTGTCGGCCGTGGCACGCGGTGAGTGGGGCAACGTCGAGCGGCAGGCGAGATCCTCGATTTACTGAATATCCCGATGCCGTGAGCGTTCTGATTATCGCGGTGAACATATCAGATGTTGACTTAGTTTACGTCTTTCAAGTTGTCCATTCCGACCGATGCTAAATTAGTTCCTTGATACTGATCTACCCAATGAGTACCGACGTCCATGACTGTCTTATACAGGGTTTCGCATGCTTTGCTATGCGGGTATGCAAAAATCGCGCGTCAGCGTTCACATATCTTGTCACTGATACGTACCTCGCTTGCAGTCCCTGACGAGGAGGCATTTCAACACTTTAAAGTGGCAAACATGCACATTTCTGTCATGAAAAAGGACAGGAATGGCGTGCAGAGAAGGGAAGCTCCGACGCTGTGATTACATCCAACCTTGTACGCACCGCTAGAAGAGACGATATCAAACAAGAACATCACCGCGACTCCCACTAAAAACTGCGAGCGTACTGTGCGGCCGAACTGCCCGAGATGCGCGATCATCTACTACCGGCGATGATGAATTCGATTGATCCCTCCCTTCCAGTTCCATCGCTTTAAGGCGCAGGGCGTATAGGTCCTTGTCCGTGTCACTGCCTGTTTGCCTCGTCCGCAACCAAAGCAGTGCGAAAGCGTTGCAAAGGTCATTGCAAATACTCCGCAGACCGGGGAATCAGACAGCGATCCCCACATGTTCAGATGGCCCACCGTGCCCGGCGCTCGGCCGTCCCGCTCATTCCAGCACCAATGGCGAGCCTGGCGTTCACCCTCGCCCGAAGCATCTCCGTCTGCGCGCACCCACGTACCCGGGTTCGTGATCGTCCGCGCCCAGGCCAACGGGGTTCGCCGCGCGGGGCGTAGGATGGATATTTTCCCCGTGGCAGCGGCCCCTCTCCGCGTGTGCGCGAGAGCCAGCGGCTGCAAGGATCTTTGCGCGCGAAAAGGCTGTCATTCGGACGTCATTTCGCTCAAGTGCGCGCTTGGGCGCACCCACGCTGCCCGCCCACGCACGCCCACGGAACCCTCGAAGTCAGTGGAACCGCCGTCGCTCCGTGCTCGGGTAAGGGTAAGAGCGCCGAGGCAGGACGCGGAGAGGGAGAGAGCGAGAGCCACACGTCCCACCCGCGACCGCAGAAGGCCAATCCGACTTATCAGCGAACGAGAATCCACATCGACCACCCCCGCGCGCGGCTCGCCACTCGCGGAGGTGGAACGGGCACACTCGCGGTCGCGTGCGGCCGGGATCCGTATTAGGGTTCTGTCGCGCGCGCGCGAGAGAGGACGCAGGGCTGGGAGCATCGCGCGCCATAACGGGATGAAGGCGAGCGGGGCGTGGCATCCATCGCACCGAAGTCTCGCGCGCACAGCTTCGGACTGCGCGGGTGCTTCGAAGCCGATACGATGCGCGGTGTGATGGCCGAGTATTTGGGGACCTCAGAGCGAGGCCGAGGGTACGATTCAGACGAGGGCATTGAAGCGGACCGTGTGGGTGTCCGCACGAGGTAACGGTGACGTAATATTATGCGAGGTACATCAAATGCTGAGAGGCAATCCTTTGGTTTGCGAGAAGACAGTCATACATAGGGATCCATAATGGTGAGTACATCGGGGGCGGGAGACACGAAAGCCAAAGACAACCAGAGTCCATCGAAAGGAGGGAGACAACGATGTATCAGCGAATAACAGCGTGTGGAGATAGCAGGCGATAACTTAGAGCAAGGTGGCAGAGCATAATGGCGCGAGGAGCATCGTGTGTATCCCAGCACGAAGAAATAAGGGGCGCGCGGCGCAGAAGGAAAAGCGCGCTCACGCGCCGATCCAAACGAGTTCAAGGGGGCGTGATCAACGAGAAAGAGGGGGAAAGTCGCGAAGGGAAAGGGAGCGTCTATCAAGACACGACGTGGAAAGGAGGGGCTTCTTCTTCTCTTCTTCGTTGTGCGTGTGCATCGCCGAGCCAGCGCGGGGCACATGTGAGGGCCCGCGTCCGGTCGGCGGCGGGGCTCCTGCGTCGCGCGCGCGCACTCAGCGCCGCCGCGCGTACCCAGTAATCGATGGCGGACGCTCGTGGAACGCCGCTGGGCGCAGCGTGCCCGGGGTCTCGTCGCAGTCGCACCCGGGCACCGTGCACGAGCGGCGGCGCGGTATGACAGCCGGCGCGACGCGAAGCGCGGGGTGCGTGTCCGAGTGAGAGCGCGCGCGGCTGGGGGGCGACGAGCATGACAGCGTTGGGCTCCGCGGGACGTCGAGGTGGGCCATGACGGTGTCGGAGTGGTCGTCGCTGCCCTCGGTGAAGGACGAGTAGGCGGAGGAGGCAGAGGGCGACACGCTCGGCGCGTGGTACGGCGGGGGCGGGTACGGGTTGCGGTACTGCATGCGCGGGGAGATTCTAAGCTGGGCGGCGGGGCCGGCAAGGGCGTCCTCGCGATGGTTGCGGTAGTGCCGGCGCATGTTCGAGTTGACACTGAAGCGGCGTGTGCAGCCCGGGAACGGGCAATCGAACGCTAGCAGGCGGCGCGCGTTAGATCTCGAGGCCGCCATCACAATTAAGGTGTATAGTGCCACTCACGCTGCGCACCCGTGTGGGAGTTCATGTGGATCAAGAGGCTGCTGGGTCGGTTGAAGCGTCGGTGGCAGATACCGCATCCGTGCCTGCGGTCGTCGCCGGGGGGACATTCGTCGGCGGGCACGACGTAGGATGGGTGGTTCCGGAGCGCGCGCTGCGACGGGGTCCCGCGGGTGCCCGTAGAGTCGTACGGGAATGGGTGCGAGATGGCGGTTCCGCGGATGTGGTCCTGGAAGACATTCCCGGCGATGAGAGAGGAAGACTCCTTACGAGGAGACTGGGACATTGAGGTTGGCCCTCGCGGGGCCGCGCTCGAACCCGCGGGGGTCACGCGGTACTCGGACCCGAGAGAGCATGCAGCTTTCAAGGGAAGAGGGGAGAGGGGGTGGGCTGTTTGTGGTGAAGACATGGAGCGCGAGTGTCGAGTGCCGCGGTGGCTTGAAGTGGGCGGAACCTGCACGGAACGGGTTAGTGGGCGCCGACTTCCACAGAGCATCGCACGCACCCTCAACGGAGGCGGGACTTGATGCAGATTGTTCGACGACGCCTGCCTGGCGCTCTCAAATCGGTGGTCTGGTTTGGCGAAACGCTCATTGAGAACACCACCGGTGGCAGGGGAGTGGGGACGTCGGGACGTACCTGGCAGCATTTCGCGGATGCTGGGGAGGGTGGGGCGTTCCTGAGGGGAAGACATGGCGACTCGAGGGGCGCCAGAGTGCGAAGGGAGGTTGGGGGGCGGGAGCGGATGGGGAGGCGACGGAGGGGAAGCCTGAGGAACTCGAGGTGGACAAGCGGTTATATACTTTCGGTCGACCAGTGTCCCAACAATCACCTGTGTGGATCTCTTGATGACGAGAAGCAGGGGCAGGAGACCTTCCCTTTTTGCGATCCAGCGTCAATAGAGGCACGGTGGGAATCGCGCGTCGCTCGACGCCCACCGGCGGTGCACTCCGCCACGCCCATGCTTTTGTTCTCGAAACGATGGCGAATCCACAACCGGCTGTTGAGTGGCCGCAACTTCGACGCGCAGGAAACGCTGCGGCCGGCCTCGAGGTCCAAAGGAACAAGATTCGCGACGGAAAGACGGAAGATTGACAGGGGAGCCCGAGTGAGAGCGGAGGAACGCTGACCTCGTGAACTGCCCATATCGGGATTGTCTGCGAACTCGTCGCACTCCCCGCGACACTCGAGAATTGCGACCTGACATGCACTAGATTGAGCTGCGATTGTTAGGTGCTCAGCGACTCAACGAGAATCATGGGCGGCGAGCACGCACACGAGATAGCCTGGCCGTTACGTCTCGTGAAGCGTCGTACAGCATGCAGATGATGTTGATTCGTTGCGATTTGTTGCGATGTGTGCTTCAACGACCCTGGAATAATAAATCAGGCCCCCAGAACAGGTGGCTGAAGAGAGATGGAGCTTGCAGTCAGGACCCGAGGGAGGCGATACCTACAAGCGTCTACCTTGCTCTGTGTCTGCAATCGGGCAGACCCACTATGAGTACCACGAGGGAGACTCCACGACCTGTACCGCAGGTTCTCTTACACCGCACCCGCTGTCGCCAGTCGACCGGTGCACCAGTGCCCTCGGAGAAGGCGCGATGCAAGATGGGACTCGTTCGGTTCTGGCCGTACAAGCCGCGCTGCCCTCGCGGAGGGTCTTCCCGGGCGATGGGCGATGATGGGGATGTCATGCTCTCGTCGCCCCGATACCGGAGCCGCCCCGCCCCACGGCCCGGGCAGCTGCGGAGGGAGGGAGGGAATACTTACATAGCAGGCTGCAGGCGGTCTGCCTCCGAGGCCGCCCATCAGACGCCCCGGGGACTAAATAACTCGCCGCTTCGCAGGGTCGACCATCCGCACCGTCCCCTACGTGTCCGAAGGGCCCTTGGGGCTTCCTCCGAGTCGGAGAGGGCATTGAGGTCACATTCATTTCTCTGGACAAGGAGACCATGGAAGCCCCCATGACTGTTTCGCTTGCAAGACCGTAAAAGCTGCAATGCGGTGGATGAAAGAGCGATGGGCATTCAAGCCACGTAAGTCCACCGCCGCTCCCGGTCTGTCGCTCGCGTCTCCGGTCTCCGCCCACGTAGAGCATGCGAGTTACCCACAGCCGACGACAATTGACAAAAGGAGATGTGAGGATAAGATTTAGTACGCACCCGATGTTCGTGAACGCGGGAGAAAATCAAAAGAGGGGAACTGAGTGTCCGACGGAAGATAGACGCTGCAGAGGCAGTCAAAGTTCGCATGAACAATGGATAGAAGCTGTTGGAGAACAAACCTAGTATGCATTGCCTTTGAAGACAGCGAAGTCCCCGTGCCGAACCAATGGTTGGGTAAAAAGAGCTGGTAGAAGTCAACAAGTATATTCGTCTGGACTCATCCGGATGACGTACGGGCCCATTACCCCCGTCTGCTTCCCGAAACGAGTCCCCATCGGTCTTCTGCCTCGCGCCTGCGAAGATTTGCCAGCAAGGCATTTCTCTGATAACGATGATCGCGCGAGGCATCTCCGGAGCAGAGAAGCCGCGCACGACGACAACTCCCAGCGGCTGCGACCGTCTCCGGAGATGCGTGCCTGGGGAGGCCGAGGAGGAGGAGGAAGGGGCTGGGAAGGACTCGAAGGCTGCAAGGCGACTCGAGGAGACGGTGATGCGCGCGATTGCCAATTACCGGGCCGCCGGGGGTCTGCCGGGCCCGATCTTCCCAATTCGTTCAGAGCAGATCATCAGGCGCCTGTCTCCTCGCGGACTACCGCGGGTATTCGACCGACTCCCCCGTGCGCAGACGTGCTGGCAGGCTGTTGCAAGGTGGACACCGCGGAATATTTCCGGTTCTTGCGGGGGCCGGACTGGGAGGCTAGGGCACCGAGGAGGATAGGCCTCGCCTGGCGAAGCTCCGAGCACTGCGTTCCCTATCTTTGGGCCGAAAACACAGGCGCCTCAGAACTGTGGGGCAGCTGCGCGTCCCCATTGCTGTTGAGGAGTCTCCATGCAGTGCAATAAAATAGTGCCGAGATGGCAGCGCACAGGTCGAGCACATGAATCGTCGCAAGTTGCAGCCTGAAGTGGATACGCGTCCGAGGCTGGCGGTCGGACTCCGATGTGGAGCAGATGCGCAGGCGTTTTTACAAGCCGCACCGGACAGAGGTGGAATAAGGGAGGGGAGGCATGACCACCATGGTCACAGAAAAATGCGCCGTAAGCCCTTTGCCGGGGCTATACGGTCACCGAACAGGGTGAGGCAGGGTAAGAAGTAACGCGGGGCCGTGACTTGCGGTGCGCGTGTTATTGAAGCGGCGTCCTAGGCGACAATAAACAATTGGGCTTGCGTAGATACACATGTCGAAGGGACTGCGAAAACCCCGCTTCTGCTGCCATTTAGTTTCCATTCGGACTATCTCTCTTATAGTACGACCGGACTTACGTGGTTAGTAGCTACATGTCGACAGTTCTTCTTAACAGCCATACAGGAGTAGAGTCATTATCTCAGCGCATCATTTCCTAGAGTGCGGCCCCGCGCGCACCCACGGGCCACCGGTGAGCATAGGGCGCCGCCACCTATGAAGCAAACACTCAGAGCTTGAAACGAGAACGAACAGCGTGTGGGCTATGCCGCAAAGCGTTACTTTCTGCGCAGACGCATTTTGGTGTCCTGAGAGTCAGTAGGTACACACAATCATGCGGTCTAGTCGGCTCATGCGGTGGTTCATCTGCCGCTTCTCGTTTGTCGTTAAAGCGTTCGTTAGTAAGGTCTGTCACAACGAAACAGATTGTATGAGCGTTTGAGAGGTAGGAGAAGAAGTCACATCACCACGTTTAAATATCTCGGACGCCACGAGCACTGCGTAGCACGTCGGAGCGACTCTAAAAAGCGTCTTTCCCCTCGAGCCCTCGAAACGCTTAATTGAGTTTCCATTAATCGTACAGAAGACACTCCTATAACTCATCAAGGGAACCAGAAACACGAGCGAGGAAATGGCGCCTATCTATATGGAATATCTACCTCCCTCGCGCCTGCTGCAATCAGGGATTCCCATGGCATGTGGGCGTATTGGCGCTCGTGGCGACACGCCCGTCTTCATAGGTTTGTCAGCCTCGGATGCCGCGGTGAACATTGCCCGCGCGACGCTCGCATATCGAGCTGACTGAACATCGGCCTAAGTTTCCTGTGATTATACGATAGTGTTCCTCGACTCCCACAGCCGTCCGCAGCTCATGCGGTGAACCCCCCTGTCGCGAATTTTGTTCCGAGCTGACCTTCTCCGGCCTTCAATGCTTCATCAGTCCCGCAGAGAACAGCCGGGCTCTCGAGCCAGCCGCCGATGAGAAGCTTCACACCGATAGGTGCCCTTGTGCCGGCCGCGCTCCTGCCGTGCGCTTCTGTCTTCTTGTCGGATTCTTTGAGTCCGCGCGGTCTTCCTTCGGCAGCTCCGGCGCCGGTGTGGAACCTGAACGTTACTTTCGCCTTCCGTCGTGCAGACGCCGCACGTGTATGCCGCAAAGAGCCTCTGCGGCGAGCTTCAACGTCTACATCATTCAGCATCAATGTATCTCCTGAACTCATCACGTATCTGATAGCGGAACTTCAAAACGAGCTTATTCTCATACCATGAGACGTCCCGGTAGATTGATGGATAGTTTTCAGCTCAATGGTCTGTCGGTAACTGACGCTCTGAGAATTGCGGCCATCTTTCGAGGCTGTGTCTGTGAGATTTCTTGCATGAACACTACGGTCACCAGTCTCATGAGAAGTATAATCAGAACTCCTCTTCGCCCTCAGATAGAATATCTATACTTAATTTATAGCGGCCTTCTGCACGCGAGGAAGTGTAACCAGTTGTTTTCGTGGACTGTGCACGAGATCTATACTGGTCTTAGAAGTAGTCATCTATCTGTCGTAGAGATTTATAGTTGAGGATGCCTCTCGTCTGGCTCGTTCTACAGATATTCCGAAATCTAATGTGAGTGCTTTAGTGATGCTCGTCCCGAATCCGTGAGGACGAATTTCACCGGCTGGCTATTATACCCATGTTATCAAGTGTAGGGACGCGCCATCTCCTGACTGAAAAACAGCGTGCGGTTCGTCCCAAAGAAGCCGATGAAAGTGTCTCAAAGGCGCTTCGAACTCTAGGAACGATCCTAGAAGCCGCGTTAGGCTCTGCATATGATCTCGGTATTCAAATCGCCACAACTTGACACTCGCGATTTGCAAGCCGGTGCAGAGACATACGCAGCCTTCCGGAGACGTTCGGCTGCCCACGATGTAGCCTGGCCTGAACGCTGTGCCTTGTCGTCGTCAGCGCGCGGGAAAACATAGAGATAACTTCCATTCCCAATGCTAGCCGCAGCCCGCCGCTCTGAACGACCGACCTTGACGCCGTGAGAGACCATTTGGATGCGTCGAGAATGCTGTTTACTGTCAACTAGTGAGTGTTATCAGTCGCTGTTGAAATCGCAGTGCCAAGAAAGTACCGAAGAGAAAGACTGACGTGATGACCATACTTCTCGCAGAAGAGCCCTCGGGCATGAGAAAGGGAATTTTGATCTACTGCACAGATGAGCGCACACTGAGGATGAGCAGCTCGGTGTCATCGCCGCTTCGGGCCGAATGTCATCACATGACCGAAACGGGAACTTCCGATGCCGCAATGTGAGAACTGAGTCGAGACCCCGAAACATGCATCCCCGATGCTCAATCCGGGGTCTCGCGTTGGTTGGTCTCCCGAGCCTCGTGAGTCGTGCGCTCCCAAGCCTCGCTCAGAATGCTGGCAGCCATTTTGTTGGCGTTTCCCGCGCCCCCCCCTTCTACATGAGGCTCTCTCTCTAGACCTGACCTCTCGGAGGAAGTTATTTATAGCTCACTGACGTCCGGTAAGTTTGGGCATACTTTTGCCGCGCCGTACACGCCTAGCTCATGATTGTCATCCACAGATTGTTGAGATACCGCGCTCAGAAGAGTTACGAGTGATGAAATGATCCTCTACAGTTCTCTAAGACAGAGGGTGTGCTCATGCCGTCAAACGGTAAGTTATGCTGTCGAGCACGCCGCGGTGACGCCCTCTCATGCCAGTGCCGACTTTGATGAAGAGCTCACACGGCCCTCACAGAATGTCGCGATGATACTGTGTCCAAACGACCCAAGAAGCAAACCCACAAACCTTGCTTACCTCAAATACTGCTTCCGAACTTCCTGGGTACGAAGCATCACTCGGACTTGCCATGTGACGAGACTGCCGTGTGGACTATGCGGCTGAGTTCGGATCGTCGCCGCCGCACTCCACTGCTGCCAATATATAAGGTGGGCTCCCCGGTTCTGGGAGAACGTCGCTGACCTCCTACGTACCATAATGGCCAGACTCCTCTCCCTACCTCCATTCCCCGATGATGTACCCATCCACCCCCTACTTATCATCGACTACGAACTTCTGCTCAAGCGAGACGATGCCGAAATTGACAAGCTTTGGAAGGCTTCAACCGAGCTGGGCTTTTGGTAGTGAGTATTCATCACATGCGGCGCTGCCACGGTGCTCACACGCCGTATCACAGCCTGAAGAACCACGGCGTGGATCCAGAGGTGGACGAGATGTTCGAGATGGGCGCCGAGACCATGCGCCTCCCTCTCGAGGAGAAGATGCAGTACGAGCAGGGCGACGAGGGGATGTCGTTCGGGTATGGCCTTATCGCGCTATATCGAGGTCCGGGTATTGACGATGACGACATCGGCGCTGCAGCTACAAAGCCGCCGGCGCGAACGCGACCAACGAGACCGGCGCGCTCGACACTGTCGAGTTCATCAACGTGGCCAAGGACGATGCGCTCGCGTGGCCTGCACGCGTTCATCGCGAGTACCCGTCCACAGTGAACGCGCGCATGGAGTCGACCATCAGACCGTTCGTGAGGAAGTCGCTCGCCGTCAACATGACGCTCCTCAATATCCTTAACGACCGCCTCGGGCTTCCGGAGGGCACTCTTGCAACGCGGCACAAGCTCGAGGAGCCGAGCGGGAGCGAGGCGCGGACGATCAAGAATCCGCCTCGCCCGAACGGGATGACCGAGGAGCAGGCCGCGATCGGCGCTCACACGGACTTCGGATCCTTGGTGAGCCCTTTCACTCTTCTGCATGATGCGCGCCACTTATTCCTTCTAGTCATTCTTGCACAATCGTCTCGGGGGCTTGCAGGTGATGGTACCTGGCACGAACGAATGGCAGTACGTCAGGGTGAGTACTTGGGCGACCGTCCAGCGTAGACGCTACTGAGCTGACGATTTGATAGCCTATCCCCGGGCATGCGATCTGCAACCTGGGTGATGCGATGGCGATCTTCAGCGGGGGGATATTGCGTTCCAACCTGCACCGCGTCGTGTGCGTCTCATTCTATAGCAGTATCTACCTTGCTGACGCCTCTCTCGACACAGGCCTCCGCCGAAGGAGCAAGGCAAACTCGAGCGCTGGTCTCTCGTGTTCTTCACCCGCCCCGGGAACTCGCAAGTTCTCCGTCCTCTATCGGAGGACTGCACGATGATTGCAGAAGCGGCGGCCAAGGACACGACGGGGAGACTCAACACAGGCTCGACCTCGGCCGAGTGGTTTTCGCGGAGGATCAAGAACCAGCGCATCAAGAACCGTACGGTACGAGCTCAGTACAAGACTCTCCGCGAGGGCTCACAGTTTTAATAGGGTCCAGAGACGTGGAGAAGCAGCCGGGGAACCGAGCATCGCCCCTCGGCGGCTTGAAACTGGCCAGTCTTGTCGACGTGTTCCAGTTCACGAACCTCTGGATGTGCTACATCCTGCCCTCCATGTATCATCTAACTAGGAATGAGTTGCGAACCTGTCTCCAGGTGTAACACAGGGGCCCTCGAAGCGCAAGCTTCGCTTCGACGCATGCGTTCACATCACATAGCGCTAGGACTTGGTGTGCGTAGTACTTCGCTTGCCTCGCTTGCTGCTGATTCAATCGCTGAGACCATGCTAGACCAGATTAGATGGTCTCAGTGTGCACATCGCATGCGTCCGACCCGTATCCCAGGCTTCACCACTGTAGGAGTCGTGGGCGCTATCTTCCATGCGAAGCGCGTTGGATCCACGCGACAACCGTTGTTCGCATTCGTTGAGCTTACCGGCATCCATACACCCCCTGCTCCTCTCGAACTCAGCCCTCGCAGACGACCCAGCGCGCGGTTCTGTTGAGCACCAGCTGTGTAGGTGAAAGCACGACGATGTACATCGTGATGACGTCATACTAAGAACGAGCCCTTTGCTCTGGCTGGCGCCACCACTCGAAACTCGGGGCCAAGGGGGCCGGGCCCGACAGCATGTCCTCCGTCTCAACCAATTTGCGAGGAGACTACTCAACAATTTTCTCGCCGCTCTCGCTTGCCCTTCACGCCCGTGTCCCAAGCTTTCAGTTCCAGCGTCTTTTTCATGACGTGCTCCATTCCTGCGTCTTTCCGGCGATTGCCAAGGTCCCTCACCAGTCCCGCCTGAGTTCAACACCCAGACTGAAGTTCACAGGCGAGCACGTTTCGACGCTGTCTGGACTTTACCCGAAGGTCTACATGACGTGTACATGACGAATTCGGACGAGCGCGCGGCCGCGGTCGCTGACAAGGATTTCATAATTAAGGGCGTCACCGCCAACATCTACCCCGGCCCGACGCGATCTCCAACGTCCACGAGGTCAACACATTCTAGACCGTCAACGTCGGACCAAGCTGTCCAGTAACGGGTGGGAGGACCAAGGGATCGCCAGGTTCGTCAACCCCGTCGCGCGAACACTAGCTTTCTGCCGCAAAGTCCATTCCTTGCTGAACGCTAATATTGACTGAACGACCCTCGTGCGGAACAAGGGTCGCGATCTCCTTGTACGTCCTACGCCTGTTATTGTGGGAACCGATGATATAGCGCTGAAATACGTCAAGCAGTTCATCTGCGCCGTACCGTAAGCAGATTATTATGTCGAAGTGTGGAGTAAGAAGGACAGTGGGGCCAAACTATTGGAAATCCAAGAACGCTGTAGATACAGGAGACACACCCAGGCTACGACGAGGGTCGTGAATGGCGAGCTTCCAGTGACTGAAAAAGAGAGCCGAAGTCCCGATGTTTGGGATGACGGAGCGGGTTCAGCGAGAAGCACAATAGACCGCAATAACAAAAAGCGCGAGAGTGGATACAAGAGGCGAATAGGTACTATAGAGAACAACCACGGTGCCCCCGCGGGGCACAATCGCCGGAAGACAGAAGCCTAACAATCGAGATCGCAGGCGCGAGGGCAGAAACTCCTTCGACCTTACTTCCTGCTGGTGCGCCCTCAGGCTGAGCCGGTGGGGATGGCGAAGGTGCCGGTGCGCGTGGCCGTGAACACGGTGTGCGTTGTAATGGTGGTAACGAATGGCGGCACTAGTATTGCGGGACATGTAATGAGCGATCCTGCAGTGCGACGCAAACAGCACGAAACACTTCACCTGACATCAACCTCTGGAAGACTTGAGTGGCCGTGAAGGTCTGCGTGGTGACACCAGTCGAGAGCGACACGTTCGCGGAAGCGAAATTGTCGGAGGCGGCCTGGGGCTGCGGGGAAAGTAAGCACGACTCGGTACGACAAACGGACACGGCATGCGACGCACAGCGGAAGCCGCGACGGCGATGAGGGACAGAACGGCGATGAGAGACTTGAACTGCATCGTGCTTGGAAAGAGTATATCGAGAGCGGAGGAGTTGAGCGTAGGCGAAGGAGTGGGTAGTGCACGGCATTGCCCTCAATCCAAGCGAGCATTTATAAAACCAACCAAGCAGGGCGATGCACTCCCAACGTGAGGCGGCGACCCGCAGGGTGCGCGCGACCCTCTTCGAGGCGCATGAAAGAACACGCCGGGGCATGCATGACATTCAATGGGCTGTACTGGAGCGTTGTGAAGGAATGCTTGGAGGGCGCAGCACTTTCCGATGACCGCGAGAGGACTGCGCACAGCTGGATGTTATTCTTCGCATCGTCCGAGCCCTTGCCCTTGCGATCAGGGCCACGAGAAGCATAACAAAGTCCTGTCATGCATGGTTACTGTACCCCGCAACGTCGCGCGACGCAAATATTGCTCACCTAGGCGCGGTGTTGGTGCCCTGCATGCTGCGCGATGTTCTCACACCTCCGCGCAGGACTGCTGCGCAGACACCGGATACGTTGCAATGGACTGTCTATGACGCCTGCAATGACCAACCGTCTGGGGATGAGCAAATTTCGCGGCCCCCGCGCAAGCTGTGCAAAGCCGCGGAGGTATTCGTCAGAAACATGACACATCGCATAACGGAGATCTCTTGGGCGTTCACCTGCGAGATTTTTGCCTTGGGCGCTTGCTCTAATACTTACAGGATGTTCGTCACATACACCCGACAGGACTCTTGGGATGCATGAGATCATGAGAACAGGGCTGCCCATTCGCCGCGAAACTTACTGGGTTCTCATGCAGGCGCCCACCGAGGAGCAAGGTGATGTGCGTCCGACAGACGCAGAACGGTCTAGGACTTGAGGCCGCCGGTCGGACGACATGTCGGAATGATTCCTGCAATGGCAAACCTCTCGTGAGTTTCCGTGCCTGAAACGCTGCGGACACCCCAGGAACGAAAAGTGGCAGGCGCCGAGAAGGTCCCTCGCCTTATTGGAGACAACAGGAACGAGGGTAGTGCCGCACCTTGCGCTTCTGAATGGCTTACAGACCATTTGGTTCTGGGAGGGTCTCGAACATCGGGATCGGTACGAGGGTGGGACGGCGAGACAGAAAGAGGATCGCGAGGTAGAAAGGGGACGGTGCGAAGGTCGGAGGATCGCGGCGGCAAGAGGCAAGCGACGAGCGCTTGATTTCCACCGCTCCTCCTCGCACCTGTCTCCTTCGCTCGTTCCTCCAGGGCAGACAATTGCGCGCACATACGTAATCATCCAGCCCATAAAGGACAAGGTCTCCTCTACCACGTCCGTTGAGAGGGAAAACTCACCAAAGATGCGAAGTACAACTCTTGCTATGTAAGTATAGTTCTCGACAACTGCAACCATCCGCAAATCGTGAGCTCATCGCTCATAGTTCGCCAGGTAGCTATGGTCGCGCTCTTTACGTCACTTTCGAGAGCTGCGGGATTGAGGCTTGAGCGCTATCACGGCGCCGCCGAGCTCACTGGGCGGCTAGATGCCGCTGACTCAGCCGCAGTACCGTCCCAACGGTGGGCGCCGACGCTTCCTTCTTCTCGTTCGCCAATATGCCTCATCAAGTCGACTTCGGGCGAGGAGCCTTTTGCTTCCGCTGTGCATCAGCGCAGTCCGGGAGTAGCAAACCACATCGGCCCCGGACATCGTGGCAACAGAGTGAGTGCACAGTCGTCGGCGGCAAATCGCTGATGCGCCTTTCGCACTTCGAACTGAATGCTTGCGCTTACGGTTGAACGGCGCTCGCTCGGACGCTCTCCTTTGTCTCCGTTCGAGAAGCACCCGCACATCGCACGCAGCAGCGCCGTTATGACCGCCCCTGGACCGATGTCGGCGGTTCGGAAGCGTAGGCTTGCAGGAACATGCAACAGGGCGGCGTGCGACGGACGTGCGACTGCCACTGCACCCAAGGCCTCTGCAGAGAACGGCGGACACGGCAAGAATGTGCGCACACATCACGGTGGGAAGACTCGTAGCAGATATAAGCAGTGTGGGCACGTCCGACATGCATCATCATCTCTCGGTGTTCCTCTTCCTTCGTCCCACCGACACCAGTACAATCCAGCGGACATGCTTGTTCTCTCCGCAACCTTTGCTCCCCTTATCGCGCTCTTCTCGTTTGGTCGCCTCGTCGCCGGTGCCATCGGCCCCGTTGCTGACCTCACCATCAGCAACGCCGACGTGACCCCCGATGGAGACACTCGTGCGGCGGTCGTTGTCAATGGTCTGATGCCTGGCCCGCTCATTACCGGCAACATGGTATGACTCCATCGGCCTCCTCTTAATTTGTGCTCAAGGATATTTGGCTTCTAGGGCGACAACTTCCAGCTGAACGTCATCGACGACCTCACAAACGACACCATGCTTACGCCGACGACCATTGTCAGTGCCCGCACCGTTCGCATCTATTTTCTTTGACTGACCGTTTCTTTCGGTAGCACTGGCATGGCTTCTTCCAGAGCGGCACTAACTGGGCAGATGGCCCCGCGTTCGTCAACCAGTGCCCCATTTCGACCGGCCACTCCTTCTTGTACGACTTCACCGCGACTGGCCAGGCTGGCACCTTCTGGTACCACAGCCATCTCTCTACGCAGTACTGTGATGGTCTCCGTGGCGCCATTGTCGTTTACGACCCAAATGATCCCCATGCGGACCTCTACGACGTCGACGACGACTCGACCGTCATCACGCTCACAGACTGGTACCACACTGCGGCCGCGCTTGGTGCCCGATTCCCGTACGTTCATTTCCAGAATCATTCATTTGATGTTTCTGACAACTCCTCTTGATAGTACCGCGGACTCTACTCTCATCAACGGGTTGGGTCGGTCGACGACCACTAACGGTGCCACCGCGAACCTCACGGTCATCACCGTCACTCAGGGCAAGCGCTACCGCTTCCGTCTCGTCAGCCTCTCGTGCGACCCCAACCACACGTTCTCGATCGACAGCCACAACATGACTGTCATCGAGGCCGACGCCGTCAACCACTCGCCGCTCACCGTCGACGAGATCCAGATCTTTGCGGGCCAGCGCTACTCCTTCGTCCTCACTGCAGACCAGGACGTCGATAACTACTGGATCCGCGCCCTCCCCAATTCTGGCACGACGTCCTTTGACGGTGGTATCAACTCGGCCATCCTCCGCTACGATGGCGCCGCGGAGGTCGAGCCCACCACGACGCAGGGCAGCAACCAGACCTTGCTCAACGAGGCCGACCTCGTCCCCCTCGACAACCTCACTCCCCCCGGCACGGCGGAGGTTGGCGGCGTCGACCTCGCGATCAACCTCGACCTCAGCTTCAACGGCACCGCGTTCTTCATCAACAACGAGACCTGGACTTCGCCCACGGTCCCCGTCCTTCTGCAGATCTTGAGCGGCGCGACCGCCGCGGCCGACCTCCTTCCCAGCGGCTCGATCATTTCCCTCCCCGGCAACTCTTCCATCGAGATCTCATTCCCCATGGTCGCTGCCGCGCCCGGCCAGCCCCACCCCTTCCACTTGCACGGGCACACCTTCTACGTCGTCCGCTCCGCCGGCGAGACCGACTACAACTTCGTCAACCCGCCCCAGCGCGACGTCGTCTCCACCGGCACGACTGGCGACAACGTCACGATCCGCTTCGACACGAACAACCCCGGCCCGTGGTTCCTCCACTGCCACATCGACTTCCACCTCGAGGCCGGCTTCGCGGTCGTCATGGCCGAGGATGCCGGGGACGTCAGCTCGTTCGTCTCGCCCTCGACCGCGTGGGAGGACCTCTGCCCGACGTACAACTCGCAGTACAACATCACCACTGCCTCCTCCTCGTGAGCGCGCTACGCGCTCTGTTGGCACCAGCGGCTCCGGCTCCGATGTCACTGCGCTCCGATCCCACATGACGTCGGAGACGGCCTCGCTGTTGGAGAAGGGTCTTCCTGTTCTGGTGTTCCTCTTCGCTCCTACGTACTTTTATTTCTCCATCCGACCTTGCCATGGTACGCAGCCATAGTCTCAAAACCAATTGTAGTTTTCGCGTTCGCATACTCATCTTTTTAATGCCTTGTTATTATCCCCGGGCTGTCGGTTTATAGCCGTGTTTCGAGCTCTCCACTGTCCCTATCTGGTCTACTTCAAGCACGCGCCGTATTTGCCTCTCGTACTGTTTCACGTACGTACTCGCGATCAGAATGCATCCTTGGTTCTCAGAGTGCATCGTCTCCCCTGTTACCGCAAGCCTCCTACGAGGTCAAGCACGTTCATTAATCCGATTTCTTTGTTTGCATGCCTCAGATTCGTCCGCGCTCCCCGGGTGCTCCACCAAGAGCTCGGCCATGTTTGTATTGTCTCCCTTGCTCTGCTTCACCTGTATTGGGTGCCCGCACTCTCTCGGATGAGCTCGGTGTGAATCCGGTGCGGCGTCGGATGGGTGTGCTGGTGACGTCACGGTGCCGCCGGCCCGGTGCTGCATCCGGCGCCCGGATCCGGAACTCGGAGCCAAACGGAGCCGAGACCCGACGGTACGGCCAATTTTGCTCGCAGGGCCCGTTCCTCTTCCCTTCGTCCGCACCGCTCCTACTGCCCAATCCAGCCCGGTATCTGCTCGACTGTCTTCATCTTCGGTTGGGGCTACACTCTTGTGTTTGTTTCGTGACTCTCTGCTGCTGCTTTCCCCGTTTCCTGCAAGCGTCGAAGAAGGCCGAACCTTGTCTGCGTACGCAAACAAAGAGTGAGATGTAACGGTGCGTCCTGCGGATGGGCAAGTTCTTGTGATACACAGGTCTCGTTTACATCATCCCATAGAAACTTTACATACACGAAATGGTCGTTCATCTTCGTCCGCATTTGCCAGTGCTCCTGTCTGTCGTCGCAGCAAACAGCTCGTAGTACTCTCGCTTTTTCAGCGGCACAGGGATGCGAAGCACACGGAACGCTATTAGAGGCTCGAAGGAACCTTTCACCTGCGGAGTGGTAGAGTGTTGTGTTGACGGATTAGGCTTCGGTCAGTGTTCAGCGTCCTCGGCCCTAGAGCGTGATGAGTTCATCAAGAATCGCTGCGCCGTCGTCTACAGTGGTGCGCACCTATCCATCACGTATGTGTGGAGCGCTGACGCTTGTCACTCAACAGCTGGTACTGTCAGTTTCTCTTGTGAAGATCCTCCTCCGCGCTCACAGACAGCATGCGTCGGGGAAGAAGGCGCGATGCGAGCGAGAGGAGCGTTACAAGGCGCGTGGCGCATCTCAGCCAGGCCGCCAATGAGGGGAAGCAAGGAGCTGCCGGTGATGGCGTATGCGGAGGCGACCTAGATAAACTGGTCGGCGTGTAGGTCGCTTACGATGACGGGAAGGGCGGTCGACACGGCGTACTGGAGACGGATGAGTGGACGAGACGAAGACGAATACGAAGGCAAGAGGGCGCACGCCTTCCAGGACGGCCACGAAGGACGAGACGAGGAGGCCGGTGAGGACGAGCCGGAAGCGGGCGGTGTTCGGGGCACTGGGAGGCGGCTCGCGGACGGCCACCGCGGACGGCGACGGGGCATCTTCCTTGCAGCTCGAAGGCTTCTTCAGTTCTGTCCGATAGTAGCACGTCGAGCCAAGCGAGCCACTCAGCATTTTGCAAACGGGAGTAGACGATCGCGGACGCTCTGGTACTGCGGGGGGGCGGAGCCTTGAAAGCCATCCCGCGGCCGTGTGTCCGATGGCGGTACCCGGTAAGCGTGCAGAGCGCGTTGTGCGGAAGTGGACCGGGAGATGCGACACGGTGTGGGTGTGTGGGGACGGGGCGGCGGGAGCATGCGCCATAATTTGTGGACGTCACCATCTTCGCCCACGCCAGGCGCTTGATCGTGGCGCGGTCACGATCATAATGGGCGCCATAGTATAAAGGCCTCAAGTCTCCCCAGGTCCTCCTTCCGGTGCACGCGCCGACCCACCCGCATCTTTCTCTCCTGCTCTTCTTTAATGGCCATCTCGATCGACCAGCTCGTCCTCAAAGGCGACATCGTCCAGCCTCCCGCAGTCCAAGCACGCATCCGCGATTACCTCACCAAAATTTTTAACAATTTCCAGCCCTTCGCTAGCGAAATCGCCCTGAAGCTTTTAACTAAAGAACTTGAGCTCTACACTCGCGACGGCGACGGAAAACCGCACGCGAAGCTCACTTTCGAGATCGTCGTCGACCCAAGTAAGCCGGCTTAGTGTTCGCCTTCCCAGTCTGCAGAACGCTTTCTGACGGCCACCGTCTGTTTTGTTAGGCATGATTAACGGTCATGGAGCGATGCATGGCGGCTGCGCAGTCTTTCTCATCGATACGTACGTTCCGGTCCTCCTGCTGCCGCCATATGGTGCCGGCTAAGACCATTCGGACATACGCGCCCGCGTTCAGGTGCTCTTCCTCCGCGTTAGCCATTCTTGCCATGCATCTCGAAAAGCCGTGGAACCACGTCTCGCAGACACTCAACACGACCTTCCACGCTCCAATGCCAGTGTAAGTGCGTACGACTCGCTCTCTATCTCTGAATCTCATGCGCTTCGTGCCACGACAAGGGGTGCCACGCTGCATATTATCAACGTTACGCAGTCGCTAGGTTCGCGAACAGTGTCGGTTCTTACTGAAGTATGCCCTTGCTGGTCCCTTGATGTTGTTGCGTTTCTGACAACGTGTGTCGTAGATTTGGGATGTGACGAATCACAGGCTGTGCGTCAGTGCCGTGCATAATAAGATGGCGCCATCATCCGTGTCGAGGTTGTGAAGGTACATATTTACTATGGCGCATGCGCGTAAAATTCACATGTGCTCTCCTATACAATCGCAAGAGTCGAATCGTTTTTGGCTGTGCTCGTGGAGTGTGTTGAATTCGAAGCCGTCCAGAGACAGATTGTACCCACCATCTCCAGGGGTTTAAGGTGGTCTAATGCGCCGTAGTCTCGAGGAGCGGGACGCAAACGAGATTTGACTGGGACAGAACTATTCTTTGAGCAATATAGTGGAAGCCAAGCGCAACCTCGCAAAGATTTACAGTGTTTGTGCATTAGAAACGACAGAAAGACGGCAATGATGATGTCGAGGCCGGCAGCAAGTGCAAATAGCAGAGCTATATTTAACGACATTTCAGTGTTCTCGTGCTCTCTATGGTACGCGTTAGAAAGACGAAAGTAGCCCACAAAAGCACACGCGGAACGTGTGCGCCAAGCGTGGAGGAGAGAGCGGGATCGAGAATGGAAGGGAGCCTCGAGTCGTTTGTGGGCGTGGTGTGAACAATCGGCAGGCGTGAACTGCCGACTCGGGGCCCGCTGATGTAACTACGTGGACGCGTGAACGACGAACATGATTGGCAGGGGGTTACGGTCTAAAGACGCGAGGCCGGAGTCAATCGCACGGTTCGATGATGTTCTCCTGCGGCGATGTGGTCAACGGGGACACACCATGCGGAGGCGCGAACGGGGCGTACCGGGCGGGCGAAGGTCCAGCAGAAGAGGGACGTGTACGCGCGCGCGAAGCCGACCTCGGCGTAGACGAACATGTACGTCCACTTGCGCTTGAACGCGGCGAGCGCCGCGGGATCGCAGAGCTGCGGGTGCCGGCTCTGCAGCTCCGCGACGACCGCGCCGGAGAAGTTCGCCTCCAGGCGTCTGTGGGTGCGGTGTGAGCCGTCTCACGCGAACCGCGCAGCGAGCGCACACTCACCGGCCCCACTCCCGGAGAGTGCGCGGGTAGTCTGGTGGGCGCGTGTGAGCAAAACGCATGGAAGCAAACGGTATGATGCTCACGGACGCCATGGTCTTCTAGGTTGTGGAAGATGAACTTCCCGGGCACGGCGCTTTGCACGGCGACAGGGAGCGATGTGGCACTTGGGAGCTGGGAGTTCGGCCAATGGTAGTGGCGCCCAAAATCGTCCGGCCTGTGCAGCGGGCGACGCCGACTCGCGGTAAGCTCTTGGTGACACACATAAACCGAGTTCGAAGACGCACTGGTACTCGGACCACCGATGCTCGGGCTGAGACGTGGCCGTGATGACAATCGTCGCGCGATCAGGCTTGAGTGCCCAGTCTAGGATGCGGAAGAACTGGCCGAGATAGCGCGAGCCCACGGCCTCGATCATCTCGGAGGACACGAAGGCGTCAAACGCGCCGGCGAACTCGGGCGGGAGCTGGCGGTAGTCGCACAGATGGACGCGGACGCGCTCGGCGACCCCGGCCTTGCGCGCTCGCTCTTCGGTCTCAGCCTTCTGCTCGCGAGACAGCGTGACGGTGTCGACGGTGCAGCCGAGGAGCGCCGCCTGAGCCCATTCGTGTCAGAGGTTGCTGCGAGAAGTTGTGCAGAGGAAGCGTACGTACCTGGATGGCCATGGCTCCCCAGCCGGAGCCAAACTCGAGCAGGCGGTCGCCCGGGCGGACGCGAGCCTTGGCGAGGAGCGCGTGGATCTTGCGGAGCTGGGCAGCTTCGAGGTCGCCGGGGCGTGGGCCACCGACGAGATCGCCGCGTGGGCCGCCTTCGGCGTCGCTCCAGATCGCGCACGAGTACATCATCTCGTCGCTGAGGAAGCACTGGGCGGGTGGGGAGGGCGGTGTAAGCAAAGGTCTCCCGCGAGAGGGCAAGGTTTAAAAGCACCTTGAAGAAGCTGTTGGACGTGTCGTAAGCGACTTCCTGGAGGTACCAGTATCCGAGTGAGCGGGCGAAATCAGTGAGCCAAAGAGATGTACGCACCACGTTCCTGCGGGACATGTGCAGGGTCTGACGGATGCCCAGGGCACCGATGGCGATCGCAGAGTACCGCGAACAGAGCGCACTGAAGGTGCTGCTAAGGCCGGTCAGCGTGGCACGATTGTCGAGCCACAGCTACGAAACGGGGGTGAGTGTTCGGAAAGCCGGAAACGCGTTAGCGGCGGGCATACATCGAGGAGGTGCTTCATGCTAGAGACGTCAAAGTCCCCATTGAGGTAGGCCTCGGAGACTAGGGAGGAGGGTGGTCAGAGCCGGAGGCACGGGCGCGACATGATGGGGAACTGACAGCCAATGTCGCTGGACGACATGATACGGGTCCACATCCGATCTTTGCGAACCGTCAGGGTGACGGTGGGGAGTGACGTGTCAGGGTTCCCGAAGGAGTGGCTACCATGATCGTCGTCGACGACGAGGTGGCCGTTGATGATGCCGTCGGCGAAGATGTTGAATATGGCGGCCCGGGCTGGGAGAACGTGTCAGCGGCGAGCAACGTGGAGACAGAAAAGGCGGCACCGTAGCTGTCAACCAAGGAATACAGTTTCTCTGGGAAATGGTTGGCGGAAACGAGGTAGGATCTGAGCGTCGGGGCGTGGAGGCTTGCGACGGTCATGGTGGGGCTGGCCGCTGCTCCGAACAGGTGACTGGGCGGAGAGTTACGAGTTGAGTAGAGAGGGGAAAAGCCCTGTGATCTTTCCTCTTCTCCTCCTGCTGGACATTTTAGAGCCCATCACAGTGCGCGTCGCCAAGGACAGAACGCAGCGGATGGTTCGTGTCCTGGCAGACTTCGGGCTAGGACGCGGATCAGCGCCCGAAGGAAGCGCGCTACGGGCGCTGCTTGGCGGCTCATCAGCTGGTCGGTAAGTAGCAGTTTACGAGCTTCGAAGCGCACCCGCGATGCTCTAACATATATACGATCGCTGGCCGTTAATTGCTTCACATTGCTTATATTCCCGCGCCCTCTTCCACGCCTCCGCACGCGATTGCCTCAGGCTCCCTCGTCCTCCGCTCTCTCTCTTCCCTCTCGCACTGCGAACCAACGAGGTACGGCCACTCGCGCTCCTTCACCGTCCTTACCTGTCTGCGCCACCTGTACCCCGCCTAATCGCCTTCTCTCCCACACGCCGCGTCCCCTCATTCCCGGCCGCGTCCGCTAGACCCCGCCCGCGCTCTCGCGTAGTCTCGCGTCCGCGACTGTAACACGACCTTCTGTTGGACGTCGTCCGCGCTCATTACAGGCTGTGTCAGCATGTACCAGGGCCTACGCAGCGAACCGTCGGTGTTTCCTTTCAAGATGGAACCTCGGTTCCCTGAGGCTCGTGAGGTTATTTCGGGGACGGAGCCTGCGTAATGGCTCCGGGTTGGTGCGAAGTCGTCGGTATGCACGTACTGCTCGTATGGAGCCAACTAATGCCGCAATGCACCGGGTATGGCTTTTCTCCAGAGATGATTCGAGGGTTTTCTGAGTGGGCTTCATCGTCTTCTACTACTGATGTTGTCGGCACAAGCCGGGACTGAAAATCCATCTGAAAGCATACCGTAGATTGGAGAGCTGTCCGCTGTCAGCGTTCGTCTGCGACTTCAGCGCTCGGCAGAGGTGGACGCGTTAGCGCTCGTCAGAACCCCACCGCGACGAGGATCGAGGAGGCATACGACCACCAGCTGCGCGGGTTCAATTGCTGCGTCCTCGGAAGTTCTTGACCGGATATGGATGCTGGGCGCGGCTCACCCGACTTCAAGCCACCCTAAATGCCGCAAGCACGCCATTCGCAGTTAGCCCACCTTCGCCCCGTTTGCTGCGACCAACCCGGAGGGTATGTCACGCGGTCCAAGCGTGTGCTGTGTTCCCAACCAGTAGTCACAGTTTACTGTGCTTGCGTGGATGTCATGTGAGAGTCAGTCGATGTGGATGTTTTCGTCCTGCAAAGAACGGTGTGCCCTCGATATTTGTACGACCACCACCCGACTCTTCGTGCCATTAGTCTAGTAGTCCTGAAGGATCTGAGTGGTCCCTACAGGTTTGGCAGACGTCCGTCCATGCACTACTTAACAGCTTCCGTTCATGGCTGTGTAGGCTTTTCTGATGGACTTGTGTATCACTCAGATACATTCGCTCTCGCGGATAGATCAGCCAAGACAATATATAAATCGGCTAGAGACAGCGGTACCTTATCCCCTCTCCCTCGTACCGCCAGCGCCGGCTCTAAGGCGCATCAGATACGAGCGACCTGTAAGTATTGCAACCCCCGCCCCTGAGCCCCTTCGCGCTCCTATCGCGCCCTTCCTAACTCATTTCCTGCCTCCTCTTGCGCGTAACTCCAATTCAGCCCTCAAGACCCCGCACATGGCCGAGCGCGAACAGCTGCTCATCTCGCCCGACGGCACGCCTATCTGGGCCGGATCCTCGGGGGACCCGTCCAAGCCAGCGATCGTCTTCGTACACGGTCTCTCGTCCACCGCGCGGAGTTGGGACGCGCAGTTCGCAGACCCGGCTTTACTCAGCGCGTTTCATCTCGTGCGGTACGAGATGCGCGGGCATGGACGAAGCGGGAAACCGGTCGACGAGGACGCATACTCGTCCCACAAGATCGCTGCGGACTTCAAGACCGTCTGCGACGCCTTTGGGGTCGTGAGGCCGATCCTGGAGGGCTGGTGAGTTGTTGCACGTCTAGTCTTCGGGATGCCGAAGATGCGTCAGTGATAGAGGGCTCGCGCTGATGGTGGTGGAACCCGTTCCGCAGGAGTCTGGGAGGTAAGTAGAGTATACGCACATCATGACCTAGACACCCACTGACCGCCATCCCCCCACCCGCATCACACGCGCTGTGCGATTCGCAGGTGCTGTCGTAGTAGACGTTGTGACCGCGTACGGCGCGGACTACCTTGCGGGCATCATCTACATCGGCGGCCCGACGGTCGCGCTGCAACACCCGTGCCTGCACCCGAACTTCCTCGCGGTCATCCCGCAAATCATGTCGCCCAACGCGGACGACACGCACCGCGGCGCGGAGCTGTTCGTGGACTCGTGCGCGAAGGCGCCGCTGCCGTACGAGACCAAGCTCGAGTGGATGGGCGCGTGGGTCGCACAGCCGCGGATGAGCCGCCATTGGAGCACCCAGCGCAAGCAGGATCCTGCGGTGTGGGAGGCGAGTGCGCGCGGGATCCCGGTGGTGGTCATTCAGGGGCTGGAGGATGCGCACTGTGCGATCGAGGAGACGATCAGTCTGGTTAGAAAGGTGTACGCGGACGTTGAGGTGCATTTGTTGGAGAATGTTGGGCACTCACCACATGTCGAGACGCCAGAGGTAGCAAACAAACTAATGCTGGAATGGGCGTTGAGGAAGACAATTTCGTAGAGTATAGGGTAGCTCAACTTCTATAGCCCCCTGCTGGTCTTTCTATGCACTCACTCCAAGTTCTGGTGGTCGAGCAGAGGCCGGCATGTGCCGGGACGAACGCGTCGCGGTGCCGTGGGAGGGCGGGACAAACCGCGGGTGATGTGGAAAGTAATCGAGGGAGGTTTGGACGTCCGGGCTGGTAGCGAGTGCATCGGTTGTCGGGAACTCGGGATCTGAACGCGAAGAGATGCATAGCGCAAAGAGTGATGATGGCGGGAGGACGAAGGCGTAGACGCTCAGTGCTCTGCTGGACTGGTTCGGTCAGAATCGGCTGGTACCGATACCATGGCAATCATGCTATCACGTGCACTGCGAGACTGTCGCTCCGACTCGCAAGCCCAGTAGTCTTCTGTCTTTCCTCCTCGTCCTCGTCACTGTGCTCGCCGTCATCCCCGCATCCTTGGAAAGAGGTGTCATTCCATACCGTTGCCTTTTACCTTTCCATCATGGGCAAACTCAACATCGCTCACCACAAATCCTATCACCCTTACCGCCGCGACAACATTGAACGGGTGCGGCGCGATGAGGAAGAAGCGCAGCTCAAGGAAGCTGCGGAAGACGGGCGAATTATGCTCGCAGTACGTCTACTTTGCCTGGCCGTTCGACCTCTGCTGATAGTGATCGCGCAGGATTCAGAGGCACGGATGGAGCTCTTGCGGCAGCGTGCAGGCGTGAAACGGGTTCGTGCTCATGATGGTTCCGACCTCGAAGATGCCCTCCAGAAGCAACGAGACGAACAAGAGCGGGGGTTGGAGAAGGATGGAGTACCAGAGGCGGGCCCGTCGTCGTTGACCAACGCGAAGGGCCACATTAACTTGTTTGAAGACATCGAGCGGGTGAGTCATGTTTCCGTTTTATGCGTCCCTCGTACTCCGCAACATCCTGTCGCCATTTCTGTCACTGATTCCTGCCCATATAGTCAGAGATGACGCTCTCTATACCTGTGCGGTCCACGAAACGGCGTTCAAACGACCCCGACGGCAAAGAAGAGACGGAGAAGGGCTTCCCGCTCGCTCCGTTAGCAAAGGACCTGAATCCTTGGTACTCTGACCGCGGCCACGAGCGGAACAGAGAGCTCGACGGCGACAAGCAGTACGTCTTCCTCCTTGCCTTCCACGTCTGCTCCCCCTCATATGTGTGGCCTCAGACGGCGAGACCTTGCGCGCAAGTCCACCCACGACCCCCTTACCTCCATCAACACCCAACTCGCGTCTCGTCACGACCCACCATCACGCTCTCGATACCCGGCGTCGTCCCGTCCTGCATCTCAAGGTCCGATTCCCCCTGGGCAAGGTGCCAAAGCAGACGTCACCGAACGCCTGACGCGGGAGTCCTCGGAGCGCCAACGCGCTGCAGAGCTCATTCGGCGGAAGAAGCGGGAGGCGGCGGGGAGCGAGACGCCGAGCACCGTGCATGGAGGCATGGGCGGAGGGAACCGAAGGTATGGGGATGTGTTCAACCGGCAGGCGGTGGAGGAGGTGCAGGCGTCGAGGCAGCGCGGGCATGGTGGCGGCTACGGACGAGAGAGGAACGGGCGGGGGCACGGATGGTGAAGAAGCTGAGGGGTGAGTTGCTTGTCGACGACCTTCGGTTACATCTGGTCGCTGTGAGACTCAAGTCCTTTGCAGCGTGGTGTACTGGTGGGTCTCGCTGGGCGATCCACGCCCCCCGCAACGGCCCTCGCGAGGCGACGGTGGACCGCAACTGCGCCGACCTTCCGAACAGCGTACTCCCCCATCGCATCTCAACGACAACTGCTCGGGCTTCGGAGTGCGTCCTCCTCATTCCACAGGTCATTCACGTGTTCATCCCCTCCCCCCCCCCCCGATGTGCATCAGGGAGTGGTGTTCTCCCTTCGGTGCCGTCAAGGAGGAGGCCGAGTGTAAGGCCCTCCGCTCACAACGCATCTGCACTCAACCACGATACACTGTCGACAGCCCCACGTCCCCACGGTCGGCCTCGACGGAGAGAAGACCTCGCCACCACCACAGATGCTCAAGACCCTGCTCCTGCTACGGAACTTCCAAATGCCACTGCGACACAGGGCGGAGTCGAAACACAAACTCAGGGTGCTGCCCTTGCGACAGAGACTCAGGACTGTGCCGCATCAAAAGCCCTGTCCAGGTGACCGAGGTCGAAGTCGAGGACCCTCCCCCTCCGAGCAGATCTTCAGCCCTCGTGATTGCTTGTCGTCGAAGGTCTGCGCGTTCCTCGAACACGCGGAGAAGGTCGGGTACACGTACGCCTGGATCGACACCTGCCACATCGACAAGTCGAGTAGCGCAGAACTTACCGAAGCGACCAACTCGGTGTTCCAATACTACTCCTCTCCGGCATCTGTTACGTCGACCTCAGTGACGTGTCAACGCAGAGCATCAAGTTCACAGGCCTCATCTCCGACGACAGCACTCCGAAGAACAGCTTCCGCGGCAGGAGGTGGCGCAAGTGTAGCCGGACGTTGCAGGAGCTCATCGCGCCGTGCGTCATCATGTTCTACTCGAAGGACTGGACGCCGCTCGGGACCAAGTACGAGCTCGCCGAGGCCCTCGAGCAAACCATGCGCGTTCCCGTCTCCGTGCTCCACTTCGAGAAGCTGTTCGTGGACACGAGCATTGCGGCGTGCATGTCCTGGACGTCGGGACGTCAACCCCCGAAGACCAGGCGTACTCCCTTTTCGGTCTGTGTTTGGTCAACATCCCCACCCTGAGCAGTGAAGGCGAGAACGCGTTCTACTTGCTGCTGGAGGAGATTATGAAGATGCTCCGCGACACTTCGCTCTTCCTGTGGCGAGCAACCCACCCGATCCTCGACAACTGCGCCAACGACTCTCTGGCCCCTCCCACCCAACCGTGCTTCATCTCACCGCCGGCCGCCCATCTTCGCCATGCGGAAGCTCCCCATGCCTCCCGCCGGCGCCACACACAGCGCAGTAGAGGTCGATTCGGTGATCAAAGATATGTATCGTCGCGCGGCCGTCGTACACGCCGGACCAGTAGCTCGGAAGGGCCATCCTCAAGCTGCTGTGCGCGGCAACGACGAGCACAGCGCCGGTTCGCCTCGCCTTCACGGACTTCCTCCAGCTCCAGCAACGGGTGGTGTTCGACAGACTGTGCTGCACCGTCCCCCGCGCGCCGTGGATGGGCGACCCGCTCCAGGTCCACTTCTGGCGCCTATCATATGTCTCGCTGCAGATCACCGTCCCCCCTACCTCGGGCCGCCCACCTTCGCCACTGCCACCGCGGGACGGACGATCCGCCTGCACGCGACCTGTCTCGTGCGCATTTCTGCACGATCCGCTGGCACATGTCCCCGAAGACGTGGGGCGACGCGCGCGCTGGAGGGCCGTATTCGCGGGTCCGCGAGGTCGACCACAACGGCAAGTGGGCGGTCGAGGGGTCGTTCGCGCCGGGCCTGATGAGCCTGCGCGGGGAGGTGCTGCAGATGCGGCGCGCGGGGACTGGATGGTGTGGCCGAGCATCGCGGACGATACAGAGCTGTGTGAGGGGACGGCTTCGTTAAACGGCGCTGCGTGAGTTTCTTGTCTGTTTGTCTTCGGTTTTCGAACGCGTGTAGTTCTCCCCCGCTCTGCACACACATCGTTACCGGAAATTCAGACCTCCTTGCGTAACTGCAACGAACCAAGACAGAAGCATCCCAATCCGCTAGCAACCTGGTCTCGTTCGAAGTGCCTTTCGGGGAAAGCGAGTGTCCGTCTCGTGTACACCGCGCGCGCCTGGCGCGCTTCGTTTCTGCCCCTCACTTGCCGAAGTCTGCTGCTGGAGGCTCCGGAGAAGTGAAACTCTGGTTGGGCACCTGCACGGGGATATCCATGTACAGCATTTACCCAGATTTTGAGCTGGGCACAAGGCGCAGTGCCTCGGTGAGCCGCCAGGCTGTGACGTGTCCAACTTCCCGTCATCACGTAAGCACCGTATATCAATAGGCAGTGCGCGCTGCACGATGGCGGAATCCCCTCTTCTCCCTTCTTCTCCACGAAGAGCTGCGTCGGTGAGGCTTCAAGGGCTCCTCCTGGTGCGATCTTTACTGACCAACGCTCACCGAGCACAGCGTCAAGGTGATGTGGCTCCTCCACACGGCCACGGCGCACCTGCGCTGCTTCAATAGTCCTGAAGAAGTTCCTGGGGGTTACGCCATCCTTTCCCATGTATGGGACTCACCGGATCAAGAGGACACCTTTCAAAGCGTCAATGCTTTGAAGGAACGCTGCCGGGAACCATCACATCATCCCCCACCTTCGAACCCTGTCCGCGCCATAATCCTCAGAGCCCTCACCTCCAAGGTCCGGAACCTCGCACCTGCAACGGTCCCCCGGGATCTCTTATCGGCCAAGATCCGCGACTTCCTGGTTTTCGCCGAGACTGATGGCCACGAGTGGGCATGGGTCGACACCTGCTGCATCGACAAAACGAGCAGTGCCGAGCTGACTGAAGCGATCAACTCCATGTTTCGGTACTACGCGCTCTCGAGCGTCTGCTACGCCTACCTCAACGACGTCGCGGCGGACACCTGGGATCGTCTAGACACCTATAAAAACCGCACGGGCTTCCAGCTGAGCAAGTGGCACTCGCGTGGATGGACACTACAAGAGCTTCTCGCCCCACGCACCGTCGTGTTCTTCACATGCGACTGGACACCCATCGGCACCAAGTACGAGCTTGCGGAGCTGCTTGAGGGCACCACGGGTATCCCCATCGCTGTTCTCCGGTTTGAGCGAGGGATCTCGGAGATGAGCGTGGCAGCGCGCATGTCCTGGGCCTCTCAACGCACGACAACGAGGGTCGAAGACGAGACATACTGTTTGTTTGGGTTGTTCGGGATCAACATGCCGACAGTGTACGGCGAGGGTCGTGGCGCGTTCTACCGCTTCCAGGAAGAGCTCATGAAAAGGACCGCGGATACATCCCTCTTTGCGTGGGGGAGAACTATGTGCATCTTGAAGCTAGGGGAAGTCATCCCGGATCCCCGAGGGCATGATCGACACGCCGAGTCGGCTTCTGACCCGGCGCACCACCTCTTCGCTCCAGCACCCGTGTACTTCAGAGGCTCTGGGAACATCATCTTCGAAGATAGAGGCGTCTCTTCCGTCTCGACACCCCACGAAGCACATGGCGAGTCTTTCGGAGCTTCCGATCCTGGCGCAATTGAAGTCCCGCACTTCGCCGTAACCGCACACGGCGCGCACGCCACCATCCCCATCATCGAGATCACTCCGACATTCGCCGTCGCCGACCTGTTCTGCTCACAAGATCACAGGCCGCTATACCTTATCCTCCACCGTTCCTCGACGAACGCTACCGTACGCGGTTGCGCGCTTTACACCTGTGGACTCCCTGCGTTCAGGCCCTTTAGGCTACCCTGCCGCCTCGCCACCCCGCGCGACCCTCTCTCCTTCCTCTCTCCAACCCCAGAAACCACATGGCGAATGACGGACGTCTACATTTCATCGCGCCCGAGCGCGCAGTCTCTCTACCGAACACCAGAGCTCTGGACACGCGTCACCCACCTCCGCGACAACCTCTCCGCGCCCTTCCACATCCGCCCCCCCGTGCTCGCCGCAGCCGCCGCTACGGCTTGGAACCTCGTCGACGCGACGGACCTCCCTGCCGCCTGGAACGGCGTGCCCCCGCTTGTCCTGGTGTTCGAGCACCGCGCAGTGCACAACCGGCTCTCCCTCGTCCTCGGGCGCTGCGACGGCCGCTCCTCAGCCCTCCCCGCCCCCTGCGCGGGACCAGCCGCGGCGCGCCCGCACTTCGCGTTCGTGCGCTTCCACACGTGGCCGCACCGCGATCCGCTCGCGGGGGTCTTCGCGCACTCCTGCGGCACGGACCACATCGAGGGCTGGGCGGATGGCACGCGCGCGTTCGAGGGCCTGTCGTGGAGGCCGGGCATCTGTCTGAGCACACAGGACGCGTTGCGGGTGCAGATGAAGTTCCGGCGAAGCCCGCTGGGTGCGCGGGGCGAGACGTTGGACCTCGAGTTTGAGGTGGGCTGGGGGGAAGGCCCGCGGCGGGACATCCCGTTCATGCGCGCGCGCATCGCGGGGTCCACATTCTCCCCACGCGGCGTGCGCGCGAGGTAGTCCAGGAATGAGTAGTGCTTGTACGACAGACTTAGATCACAGTGGGCTATTGCCTCTCGACCCGGCGGAACCGAATCTGCAGCGGCCCGTCGCGCACGCTGAGAGGACTTGGGGAGATCGAGGCTTCGAAGGTACCCATCGTCATCTCCAGCAACCGCTTCTTCGGCCATGGACCCTCCATGGATATGTGATCCGTCTCGCACGAGTGCGTCGCCACGAGGTGTTGGCCTAAGCGGAGGGCAAGGAAAGGGATATAAGGAAGACGGGTGTGTGACGTCAGAGCAGGAGAGGAATGATTGGGTGGTGAAACAGTCGATGGGTGAGGTTCGCGACTGAAGATAACGGCTCTCGGATCGTTTTGGCAGAGACCGAGGGTGATCTGGAGAGGGTAGGAGATGAGGCCGGAGAAGAGCCAGAAGTGGAGCAGGAGGTAGTTTGGACGCGACCAAGGCACGCGTGGGATGACGCTCTGGCTCCTGTCGAAGTACACGGCGTCTTTGAGGCTGGAGAAGTCGGCAAAAACGAAGTGGAAGGGCGCGTCGCTGGTTAGGGCCTCACAGAACGTCCTAAGGTCGTCCATCTTCTCCTCGTCAGGATCGACGCCTGCCGCAGGTGACTCGCGGGCGTCGACGCACGTGGCCGTCGTCCTCCATCTGTCCGCGGGGATGGGTTCGTCCATGAAAACGGCGTTGTGAGCCGCTGGCTGGTAGATCGGCGCTCGGGTGATCCTGTCGATCCGGACTTGTCTGAGCACGAGGTAGAGCGGACGGCGGGTGGACTCGTCCCCTTCCTGGACACAGTCGGAGCAGAAGAGGTTTACGAGGAGGAATCGGCGTTCATCGTCGAGGGAAATCGTAGGCGCCGAAAGAATGCCCCCGTCGGAGGTCAAGGTGAACATGGGAGGGACGAGTGCCGAAGTAGTGGAAATAACCTGTGGGCGAAGTGTGAGCAGACGAACAGATGAGCCAAAAACATCGGTCGTACCGTCGACTCGCTGGCCAACACCAATGCGCCTGGCTCGTACTTGATGGTGTGAGTGTTCGTGAACTCCCAGGGGTGGGAGGGAAGGAGGTGGCCATCGACAGCGGGGATCTCGCTCAGACCAGAGAGCAGAGAGCTCAGGTCGTGAAAGTGGGATTTCCCTCGCCACTGCCAGAGGAATATCGAGGCATCGCGAGACGTCTTCATGATCGCCTCTAGAAGCCGCGAAAACGCGTTGTCGCCTTCTCCGTACAGGGTCGGCATGTTGACCCCGAATATCCCGAAGAGGCAGTACGCGATGTCTTCGCGTCTCGTCGTCTCCCGTGTTGAGGCCCAAGACATGCGCGCCGCAATACTGACGTCCGTGATCGAGGTCTGAAACCGAAGGACGGACGAGGGGATACGGGTCGCGCTCTCGAGGATATCCGCGAGTTCGAACTTGGTGCCGATAGGCGTCCATTGACTAGAGAAGAACACGACAACGCGGGAGGCGATCAGCTCCTGAAGTGTCCATCCACGGCTATGCCACCTGCTTAGCTCGAAGTCGGCAATCACGTCCAGAGGGGATACGGCGCTGGAGAGGGCCCGGTGAGAGCGATGCCGTCGGTGTTAACGTCGTCGAGGTAAACGTAGCACGCGCTGGAGAGGGCGTAGTACTGGAACATCGAGTTGATAGCTTCGGAAAGCTCGGCGCTGCTCGTCTTGTCGATGCAGCAGGTGTCGACCCAAGCGTACTCGAAACCGGCTTTCTCGGCGAGCTCCAGGAAGGAGCGGACCTTCGGAGTGAGACAGTCGCGCGGGTTGGCGGTCTCAGGCCTGTCCTGAGCGATGTTGTGGATCGACGTGGATGTGGAGGTGGTTGTGAAGGAGCGGTGTTGACTAAGTGCATCGAGATAGCTCTGCTTTTCCGGTAGGATCATGGACAGCGCTGACACGACTGCATTAGTGATGACTTCGTTCAGCTCCTCTCGTGTTCGTGGGAGGTCGTGGTCTTGAAGCGAGGGAGTTTGATCGAATTTCTTGTTAAGTGCTTGGATCTTTTGGAAAGTATCTTCTTCGGCCGACCAGGTATGTGATAAGATGGCGTAACCCCGGGGAACGTCTTCCGCACGAGGAAATAAGACCAGATTTGCACATCTAGTACCGAGCAGCCACATTGGGGCTATAGCAACTGAGATTTCAGACTTATGTTAGAGACACGTCAGAAAGAAAACTGACCAAGTCAAATGTAGGGAGCGGCGTGTGTTGTGGCAGCGTTTACAGCGCAGGCTGTGGAACGAGATGCTGGTGATGTCTTGAGGCTCTTGTGTCGAGGAACTGGTGGGCTTTGGTGAGGAAAACGTAGCGGGGAAGTATGCGCCCCACTGACGTCGCATGGTGAGCCTCCCCATGAAGAGAGGCGCTGGCCGTGCTAAAACCTCCGAGGTCCCACTTATGGCGCGCACGCGGACCGCCGAGGGATGACAACTTAGGGAGTCATTCATTCCACGTCTTCGCGAGTTGAATATAAGTTACGAGGTCCAGGGGTCGCGCGCACCTGTCTCATTGGTAATCGGGGACAGTCTCGTCGGTTGGCCACGGGAGGCTCAAAATTTCGATAGTCAAAGTCATGAAATGAGGAGGCGATGGTAGACGCCTCAGAGCTTGGAGGGAGGGAAGAGCATCCAGAGAGGAAGAGCCGACTCCAGCTGAGCTGGCGCTCTCCGGGGATCGGATGCGGAGGCCGGGATCGTCCGGGCCCTCGAGTTGAGCGCTTGATCAGCGGCTCGCCGGTTTCGGTCTCAACGCCTCTGAGGCTCTTTGTCTCTCTATGTCTCCGTCACGAGTCAACATGATGTCCATACAGGTTTTCAATTGTCTCGTTCTCGTATTCACTGACAGTCTCCGTAGTGACCACAATGTAGATATGGGCTAAAACGCGTCCATGAGGCTGCAAGCGTACTCTCCTCGGCTCGTTTTTTACCAGACCGGGTACTTCACGCACTTCTGCAGCCACAGCCGTGCGGAAACAAGTCAGAAGGCGCCCCACGATCGGCGTATCACAGCTCGACGTGTTCATACCTCTTTTCTCCCTTCGCCTGCGGGACACGCGTCAGCTCCCCCTTTCGACGCGAGCACGGATCTGTGCACTCACGAGCGTCGCGGAGCACCACGCCTGCGGTGCATCGCTCATCTCGAACTCGATCGTGCCCCCGCGGGCGATGTCCGCGTGCGTCAGGATCGGCTGCGCGAGTTCGCGGCCGTTGACGGACACGCTCTTGATGTACGGCTTGAAGGGCGCGCCGGGCGAGGTGATAACGAGCGGCTTGGGCGCGCCGGGGAGGGCGATCGTGACCTTGTCGAAGAACGGTCTGCACGCGAGGGTGAGCGTGAAGAAGCAGAGAAAAGCACCGGCGCGTACGTTCCAATCACGTATTCGGCGGACACGGGGTCGACGGGGTAGAAGCCCAGCGCGCTGAATATGTACCACGCGCTCATCTGCCCGCAGTCTTCGTTCTACGGCAGGAAATATGAGCCGGTGGCATGCGCAAGGAAGGAGAAGCACGCACGCCAGATAGACCGTTCACGGAGGCGTTGTAATTGTCTTTGGCGATCTCGCGAATGCGCGACTGTGACTTTGACGCCGCGCCGGCAAGCGAATAGAAGTATGGAATATGGTGCGAGGGCTGGAAAACAAAAGTCTAAGACGGCATTTTCAGGGCAGGGATCAAGCGACGGACCTCGTTGGTGTGATCGTTGTGCCCGCCGTCAAAGTGCTGGTCCAAGAACGCGACGAAGCTCGCGTTCCCACCACGTCTCTGAATGAGCGCCGGGACATCGTGCACGACGTCGAACGTGTACGCCCACATGTCGCCCTCGGTCCAGCCCGCGTCCTGGCCCGCCCACGCGCCGCTCGCGTTGCGCGCCTCCATGAAGCCCGTGTCGTTGTTGAAGATCGTGAAAGGCGCAGAGAAAGCCCGGGCGCGGAAGTGGGCCGAGTCCTCGGATTTACCGAGCGCCGCCGCGAGGACGGAGAGTGCGTAGTCGTCGTCTGGTACGGCGGGGTGAGAGGCGAGAAGTAAGAGAGACGAATAGCTTACAGGCGTAGTCAAGCGTGCGAGAGGCGGCTTCGGAGTGTATGTCGGAGGCCACAAAGCCATCGGCCTCGTAGACAGAAGACAGGCCAGCGCGGACTTCGTAGCCGACATTCTGCGATGACGTCATCAGTATTTGGAACTAGCGCGGGAGTGGTAGGCCGACCTCTTCGCGGTCGAAGTAGCTGAACCATAACATCAGTCGACCTTCAGAGGCTGAATCAACAGGGAGACGCACGAAGTATTCCAGTCGTTCTCTGGAGGCACGGTCGCATCTTTGTGGACGGCCGCGTAGGCGGTGTTGATATCGAAGTCAGTGATGCCTTTGATAACGGCCTCAGCAATCAAAGAGTCAGCATGAGTTCCAACCATGATGTTGGTTTCTTGGTAATAAAGCATGAGGGACACTTTGAGAAACGCATGGAACACCGGTACTAACCAACAATGTTCTTCCACATGGGCAACCAGCCTCCCTACACGATTCGTCAGCATCTACATGATACACGAGATCGAAAGCATACCTCGGTGTAGTCCTGGAGCATGCTGGTAACCATTCCCGGGATGCGCTCGGGAGCAAGGAGAATCTGCCACGCCCACTCGGCACGGAAGGTGTCCTGCAAGTGTACTGGTCAGCGAGTATGGAATACTAAGAGAATGCTCACTTACCCAGATCGAGTAACCAGTGTAGGACTCCCCCTCGTGCACCATGTCGTCATATCCAGAGTAGTACTCGCCATCTTCGCTCTGCTCGTACGGGTACTGCAGAGTGCGGAAGATGCCCGTGTAGAACATGACGCTCTCGTCCTCACTGGCACCCTCGATCTGGACGAGGTCGAGCTTTTCCACCCACGCTGCGCGCGTTTTCTCCACCGTCTGCTCAAGTGTCGTCCCGTCCGGGACCTCAGCGTCCAGGTTCTTCCGTGCCTGTTCGACGGAGATGAACGACACCCCCACACGCACGTCCACTACCTTCGTGTTCTCCGCGAAGCGCGCAAACGCGGACAAGAGCGCGCCCGCGCCCTCCGTCGCGCCCTCCGCAACCGAGCCGTTCTGCGCCGTGCCGAAGCTCTCGAACGGCTTGTTGAAGCGCGCGACGAAGTACCCGTTGAACGAGGGTGCGGAGTTGGGACCGATGATGAAGTCCTGCCGTTCCGGGTTGCGACCGCTGATCTCGCGCTTTGCGGGGTCGATGGCGATCGCGCCGAGTGGGTAGGTGACGTTGGTAGGATCGTCGGAGCCCATGACAGATGCGCGCGTCGCCTCGACGAGGACGTAGGGCGCGGCGGTGTTTGTGAATGTGAAGCGGAGGTGGCCGACGCGAGACGCTGGCAGAAGGTGACGTCATTTCAGACACGTGGGCAGGGGGTGAGAGCAGGAGGAGAGCGTACTGGCAGACTGCTCGCCGTGTATGGTCCCGCCCTCGATAGAGTCGAGAAGGACAGAGTAGTACCCCGCGGTCGCAACCTCATTGGCGTGACTGAAGGACATCCCGCGGTCCTCGAAGATGGGTCGTACAGTACCAGCACCGGGGGCGATGATTGCTTGGCCACTCTCGCCCATCCAGATAGCAGGTTGATGTGTCCCCTGGAATCCATGGATGGAGGTGTCCGTGTAGTTGTACGGTGTGACGGAAACATAGTTCTGACGAGTTTGAGCGACCCAGCGGGTCATGGCAAAGGGAGGCGCAGTAGAAGGTATCATGCCTCCAGATCCGTTGGGAGAGTCCCCGCCATTTCCTATGAAGCTTTTTGTATGCTATCAGTGACCGACTCGCGTACACCCTCATGGACTCACGGGTCAACGAAATCGACTGCGGTACTCGCGGGTTTTGAGAATGCTGGTGGGGCGTCACGCCGGTGAAGCTGAGCATTGGTGGTCGCAGCGAGGAGCGCAAAAGCAAGCAAACGAGCCATATCGTCGAGCGGGAACCACTGGTGCCCAAGTCCCAGTACTTGGTGCTTGGTGGTGGTCACCAGACAAGGTCGTGAGCGCTCCGTGCAACTTGAAGTGAACTGCAGACGGCCACGTGGCTGGTCTCACGAATAGACTCTGACGTTAAGTAATAACAGTTGACTCTGATTTAAACTCCGACAATCGCCGATTATTACCCCAGCCGCCGGTCGACTTGTTCTCAGCGAGCCACGCCCTCCCGCATTCATCTCCTGTCCACCACCTTCTCGAACTTGCTCCCAAAGTCTCCCTGTTCCGCCCGACATGTCTCGCTTACGCCGATAATACTCAAATCTCTCATAACGTAACCTCCCTCGTGGTCTAGTCACCTGCCATCGCCATGCCCCATCTTGCAAATTCGCACCGCAGACTCGTCTGAAGACCGCCTGAGAAGCGCGGAGAACCCCCCAAAGGCCGATGTCATCACCTCACCTTTTCATCATGCCCATCGTAAGTTAGCTGTTCTTCCCAGCTTGTTCACCACTGTGACATCCTCTGCTCATTCCAACAGCTCTGCGGCAAATTGTCGGACGAGCGGACTTAGCTTCCACTCTTTCAAGCCCGGTCTTGCTTGCCCCGCTGAGCGCGCCATGATACCCGTCGACGGCCCGCTGCGTCGCGGGCACAAGGTCCGACGATACTCCCCACCATCGTCAACTGACCTACCGTGCCTTGGGCGTGAACGCTTGCGCCCGGGGTATAAGTCGATCAGTCAAACGCGTCGATCCCGCCACCTCCATTATACGGGTCAACGCGATGCGCGGACTTGCCTTCTCGGTGCTCCCCCTACTCTGGACGGCGGTGGTGGACGCGTCAGTGAACACTTTCGGCGTCCGCGACGACCTCCACTTTCCCGTTCACGCTCGCGCGACGAACAATGACGGCTCAAGGCCCATCTACAAGGACCCGAAGGCGGACATTGAGGACAGGGTGAACGATCTTTTGCCGAGGATGACGGTGGAGGAGAAGGTCGCCCAGCTGTAAGTCCCTTTTGCTCTCTATTCTCGCTCCAGACCTGGATATATGCGCATACAGCATACAAGGAGACATGAACGGGTGGATGAACCTCACGGACCCCCTCGACGACACGCTCACTTTCAACCAGACCGGGCTGGTACGTCCCCATTCTCTTTACTCCCTTCCCGCGTCTCATTCGATATCAGGAGGAGATGATGCGCCTCAAAGGCGGCTCGATCTGGGGCGGCTACCTCACACCATGGGACAAGTTTGTCTTTGGAGTAACAGTGGGCCAAAAGTACCTCATGGAGAACACCACCCTCGGCATTCCTGCACTGATACAGTCAGAAGGTACGTTTCTCTCTGTCTATGTGCACAGTGCTTCTTTTCATTGCGCCTCCCACCAGGACTCCACGGCTTCACCAACAATGGTACCATTTGGCCATCCCCGATCGGCTGGGCCGCGTCCTTCAACCCTGAACTGCTCCAAAAAGCAGCTGTGACGATTGCGGACGAAGCTGAGGGCCTGGGCATCTCGCACGTCTTTGCACCCGTGCTTGACCTTTCGCGCGAGCTCCGCTGGGGGCGAGTGGAGGAGAACTTTGGGGAGGATCCGTTCTTGTGAGTGGTCATGTGCACATTCAGCCAGGCGGGAGCTCAAATCCTCTCCAGGACTGGCGAGATGGGCCACGCGTTCGTCACCGGGCTACAGTCTGGGTCGCGACGGAATGTGAGCGACACCGCTATCGCGCGTATGGCGGCCACTTGCAAGCACTTCGCCGCGTTCGGGTCGCCTCAAGGAGGCTTGTGAGTACGCGCATGCCGTCGACGGGCCAGCAACTGATTGAGACGACACAGGAACACTGCGCAAGTGAGCGGCGGCGAGCGCGAACTTCGCTCCACATACCTCAAGCCGTTCAACCGCGCGTGCGTCGAGTCGCTTTCGATCATGACTGCGTACTCGAGCTACGACGGTATCCCGGCCATCGCGAACAAGCGTACGTCTGTGTTGAAGGTTACCGGAAACATAGCTGACGTCATTAATTATAGACCTCCTCACGGATATTGTATGTCAATATAAGCGCAGTATGGCCGCAAAACTGATTAGCAGTGCAGCTTCGTAACGAATGGGGCTACAAGTACTGGGTCACGACCGACGCCGGTTCTGTCGACCTTCTCATCAACCAACACGGGACGTGCGACTCACGCGAGTGCGCCGCCAAGGTCACACTTGAAAACGGCTTGAGCGGCGAGATGGGCGGCGGCACCTACACATTCCTCACTCTCCCGGACCAGATCGCCGCTGGGACAGTGGACATTAAGCTAGTAGATGAGACGGTCAAGGCCATGTTGCGCACCAAGTTCTCGCTTGGGCTGTTCGAAAGTACGCTCACGTTCTCCCCCTTACTTTGCCTCTTGCTCACGCCATACACAGATCCCTACCCGTACGACGACTATCTGTCGACCCTTCGCACCCCCGAGACCCGAGAGCTATTGCACCAAATGGAACAAGAGACGATCGTCCTTCTCGAGAACCACAATAGAGCACTTCCCCTCAGCAAGTCCATCTCGTCGGTCGCGCTCGTCGGTCCGCAAGTGGATCGCGTGTCGTTTGGCGACTATGTGTTCTTCAACGCGTCTCTTAACGGCATCTCCCCGCTCGCCGGTTTCACCCAGCTGCTTGCGAACACCTCCGTTGAGATCAAGTACGCGCAGGGTTGCGAATTGTGGTCGAACGACCCGTCAGGCATCCAGGCTGCGGTCGATGCCGCGAAGAGTGCGGACGCGACAGTTGTGATGGTGGGCACGTGGACTCTGGACCAAACTCTCCTCTGGACACCGGGCACCAATGCAACCACGGGCGAGCACGTCGACGTCTCCGATCTCGGCCTGGTGGGGGCGCAGATGCAGCTCGTCCAGGCGGTCACCGACGCTGCGAAGGGCCCTGTCATCGTCGTCCTCATCAGCGGCAAGCCCGTCGCTGAGCCATGGATCCAAGCACGTGCGTATCTCCCATGACCGACCGCCCGTGTCCCGCTGACCCTCCTCCAGACGCCGATGCCGTCATCCAGCAGTTCTACCCCGGTGAGCTCGGCGGCCTCGCGCTCGCCGAGATCGTCTTTGGGGATGCGAACCCGTCCGGAAAGCTCCCTGTCTCCTTCCCCCGCTCGGTCGGGACGACGCCTGTGTTCTACAACTACCTCAAGGCCGCACGCTTCGTCGACCCGGGTTCTATCGCGGACGACGGCACGCTGCACTTCGGGCACCAGTACGTGCTCGACTCGCCCGTGCCGATCTGGAGCTTCGGGCACGGTCTGAGTTACACGACGTTCAACTACACCGACCTCACCCTTTCGAGCGCGAGGATCTCACCCGGGGAGGACTTCAACGTCACCGTCACCGTGCACAACACCGGCACCGTTGACGGCGCGGAGGTCGTGCAGGTGTACGCCACCGACGTCGTCTCGTCCATTGTGACGCCCAACCAGGAGCTCGTGGGCTTCCAGAAGGTCCCTCTTGCGTGCGTCTCTTCCGTCTGTCCCGCCGCAGTGCAGAGAGCTGACGTGACCGTACTCGCAGCGCGGGCGAGTCGAAGACGGTCACGATCCCCGTGCTCGGGAGCCAGCTCGCGCTGTGGACGCTCGACAACAAGTTCGTCGTCGAGCCGGGCGCGTTTGCGATCAAAGTCGGGACGAGCGACCAGAGGTTCCTCAACGCTACTCTCACGGTTCGGTAGCCGAACGCGGGAGGCCTGTTTGTGTACATTAGTGGGGGGCTACGATATGACGCCGTTTCACCTCAGGGCAGACATGAGCTTTACGTCCAACGTTCCTTCCTGCTCCATATACTGTCTAAACTCCGCGATCCGTGACGTGCCGCGTTTGCGGCCACCTGCCCTCCGATCTCGTGCCGCGGGATGAGTAACTGAGTACGAGGGCCGCATCTGCCAGTCCGCCGTGGACAGTGTGGGGTCGTCGGTGGACATGGCGTAGGTTTTGGCGGGAGCATACATACCAGTCGCCACAGCGAGGGGCAGACCCGAGATTCCGGGTGGAGGAGGAGTCGGTCACGAAGCAGGCGCTGCAGTAGAGGTCGACGAGGGGGAAGTCGTCGAGCGCGAGCGCGGGCGGGGATGAGCTGAGTCGTCTGGTATCGGTATGCTGACGCGGTACATCGAGCTGATGGCTGCTGTGAGCTCGGCGCCGCTCTCCTTGTCGATGCTGCACGCCGCAGCTGTTGACTGCGCTCGAGGAACAAGGGACTTTCGGTGACAGACGATATCGAGGGGAGGAGGCGGGCGTCACGACTCGAGTTCAATGCACGGCGTGTACGCGCATCGCCGCTATAAGTTCGCTTGTCGCGCCCACCGGCCGGCGGTCAGATAAACTCGTCGCAGAAACCGTCGCAAACGCCCGCGACGGGCAAGTATGATACAACATGCGAAGGCGGCCGCATGCGCGTAACGTACACGGCAAGAAATCGAAAGACAAGTGTGCGCGACGAGTCCGCGAACGCGTACGGTGCTCACTGGCGCGACGGATCCTCCCATCCTCCCATCCTCCCATCCTCCCCGGGTATGTCCTCCGGGTATGCACCCTCTACCGCATTCCCGTCCTTCGCGCATCCGCATACCCGCGTCAGACGGAGACGGTGTCGACGCGCGGGCGCGGCGGGCCGGCCCACTCGACCATCATCGGCGAGGAGGGCGCGCGCGCCTTGTGCGCGACGGCGAGGATCGCGATCACGCCGAGGCCGGTGAGCGCGACCCAGCCGAGCCAGGCGAAGGCCATCATCGCGCTGAGCGTGCGGCACTGCGCGAACTGGGCGCAGAAGGAGAGGTCGGGCCAGATAGACTGCGGGTTGGAAGAGAAAGAGAGGGGCGTCAGCGTGCGTTCGAGAACGAGGCGAAGGAGAACGGGAGAACGGGAGAACGGGGGAACGGGGGAACGGGGGAACGGGGGAACGGGGGAACGGGGGAACGGGGGAACGGGGGAACGGGAGGCTAATAGAGTGTCTGACCAGCCCCCCTGGTGTGACGACGGTCTGGTGGGACGGGGACACGGACCTGCGGAGTCCCCGCGTTGCGTCCTGCGGGGCACCGGACTTTCGCCATGACTCCCCACACTGCGGCGGGCTCGCCCGTCGCGCGCCGTATCCTGCCAAGTGAAGAAGTCGCGGTCCATCCTCTCTGCAGCTAGCATCGAGAAGAAGCGATCCGCGCCCAGAGGCGGAACCCAGACACGAACGACTCCCACAACTGCCGTGGCTGCCGAGGGAAGGGGGGAACGCAGAACACGATGAGGGCAACTTACCGTTGACACGACGCATCCGGACAACCAGAACAACCACAGGAGGCCCACTGAACCGAGCTCGAAGACGTTGTTTGACGACTGAGACGAGAATTGAGGGGGGATCCATCGCAGCCTGCGGCGCACGAGTGTGGGTGAGCGCAACGGTTCTCACGGGAGCCACAGGAGACGTACACGAATGGTATCGTGCCTAGGGCGAGTATTGAGGAGACGAGTAGCTCGACCACGATAGGGTCTGCGAAGAGGTCATTGAGAGAAGCCGGGCTCACAAAGCGAACACCAACGCACCGAAGAAGTCGCGGCCTCCATTGAGGGTATCTCCGGGGGGGAGGTGGGTAGTATAGGAGAGACGAACGATGGTGATAATGGTGAGGATCCCAGCGAACACCCACTGCGCGTCCAAATCCGCACTCAGCCCTTCCCTCCAGCCCCTACGCACGAAGAAAAAGGCACTCACGAGGACGATCCAGAGGGGCACGCGGAGAATGACCGGAAGAGGGCTCATCGCGCGGCGGTCTACGCCCAGCGAAGGAGAGAAGGACGTAGAGCAAAGAGCGAAGGGGGAAGCAGAGCCAGCCGGGGCAGTCGGGACCGAGCTCGTGTGGCCGGGGTGGTGTTATATTGCGTGCCTTCCCGTCCCTGAGACGCTGCCCGAGGCCGCGCACCGAGGAGACCGACGCGCCGACGCCGGGGGCTTGGAATTCCTGAAGGCTGACCCTGCGGGGCGCGCGCTGCCGATTGGGCCATCCAAAATTGAGGAGGGCCTCGTCGTCAGCGAGCGAGATCTGTCGTTGGCTTCTGCTCGAGCTCAGGGCGGCGGTCGTCAAGGCGGGCGCCCTTGCGTGGGGGCAGTCGACAATGAAGCGGTCAACATGAACTTGGAGAAGAACAGAAGAAAGGAAGTTGGCTGCGCGATCTGCCAGAGGTGCGGGGATGTGGGTGTGTGTACGAAAGCGCAGGCGGATCCGGAGATGGAAGGAAAGCCAGGATCACGACTGTCCTGAGTCTGTATGACCGGGCCGGCTTTTCCGTGTTCCTCCGAGAATACGACGCGTATGGTCACACCATGTCACATCGTGTCTGTCACTGTCGATTTTGCGGACCAGCATAAGTTCGGCGGGCCCATTTCCCTCCTGAGACGCCTTAGCGCGCGCGGCTATCTACGAGATTAGATAGCGCACCGGCCGAGACTCGCGAGGGAGATTGGAGGTACGAAAGCCCAAGCAGCTTCTGGAGATTGCTCCTCCAGAAGTGCGCTCTTTTATATTCGCTGTCTACCATGTACATGAGTCAACATGAGTCGCTCGCGCGCATACACGCTGCAACGCTAGCTTGCCTGCTTGCGCTCACATGTCGCACAGAGTCAACGGAAATACAAAGAACAAACGCGCGTGAGGCGCGAGGCATCTTCGTACGATACTGGAAGGAGTAACTACGTAGTCAGGGCCTGGGTACGCTCCAGGCACGAAGAGCAACGTGCAGGAGCGCACTGTAGCCAGCAGCGGCCCGGTCGGTACATGAGGCGCTCAAGTGAGCTCTTGAGCGACGCGCGGTAGCCTCGTGGCTGGGCGTCGGGACCGCGCGCCCCGCTTACTAACACCGTGACTGGCGTGATTACCGGAAAAGGGAAATTTCCGTAACATCACCCCCTTCTCTAACATCGTGTCCTCACGATTCAGGCCAGAGTCCATACGCGAAGCGGAACGGTCAACGTTCCCTTCCATCGATCCCATTTGCGCGACCATTGGTCCCACTCGTGATCTAGGGGGTCCGTTAGCTGGACTAAGCGCGCGCGTGGTCCTAGGAGACGGAAGGGTCGAGGAGCGGTGGGATTGTGTTTGTGGTAGTCTTCGATTAGATCCTTGTACTTATCGAATAACTTTCCACGAGGGATCCAAGTGTTCTCGGAGATGGGTTTGTCTTTCCATTTGACAAGGTATTGCACAGTGCCGGATTCGAACTTGGAGTTTACCACGGCTTCGGGTTCCTCGGGCTTGTCAACGCCTTCAGGCGCCATGGTCTCTAAGCGCTCTTGGTTGTCGAACTCGGGGGCAAACGCAGGGGTGAGCAGGTCTTCATTGAACACGGGGTGAATACCACTGAGCGCTTTGGGGAGCTTCAGCTTGTACGCACTTGCACCGACTTTCGCGAGGATTTTGAAGGGACCATAGCGCTTGTGCTCCAACTTTTTGTTTGGACGCACAGTGGTGATGTTGAGCGCTTCTAGCCACACGAGATCTCCTTCTTGGTAGTCTCGTGCGGGATTGCGGTGTCGGTCGTATTTTTCCTTCATGATTTTCTGTGCTGCTTTCAGGCTTTCTGTAGCGGCTTCGGAAATATCATCCATGCGTGTTTTGAACTGTTCGGCTGACTCGCTCTTTGCCGGCTTGTGTGTCTCTACCCCTGTGTACGGATGGAAACCATGCGTCATGTAGAAGGGGGAGAATTTGGTAGCAGAATGTTGCCGGTTGCGATACGCAAAGAGCGCGAGGGGTAGCCAGTCGACCCAGTCATCTTGTCGGTGATTGATGAAGATGCGTAGGTAATTCTTGATCTCCCGGTTCATGCGTTCAGTCTGTCCATCCGTCTGAGGGTGATACGCTGTGCTTGGATTTCCTTGTATCCCAAGCTTCTGGTACAAGCTCTTCGTGAAGTTGGATACAAACTGCGGACCTCGGTCTGACGTGATCTTGCGTGGAAGCCCATGGTGGGACCAGACATGCTTGAGTAGGATGTTTGCGTACCCTTCTGAGTCTAGTGCTTCGAGACATGGGACTGCGATAGTGTCCTTGGATTTCATGTCTACGCACACGAATATGGAGTCAAAGCCGAGACATCTGGGGAGATGTGTGATCAGATCTACTGAGATGTATTCCCAGTTTCGACTTGGGATTTCGTGTGGGTGCAGTGGAGCTGACTTCGCTTGTGTGCGAATCTTCGTTCGTTGACATGTTGTGCAGCCTTTGATGTATTTCGCGACGTCCTTGCGTAGCGTCGGCCACCAGTATGAGCGTTGAACGAGATCTTGAGTCTTGCTCCGGCCCGGGTGGCCAGCGCTAACAGAGTCGTGATGCGCGCCGATGATGCGTCCGCGGAGCGCTTTGTCATCAGGAATGACAAGCTTCCCCCTCCTATAGATCAGGCCGTCCTCGGTCTGAACGTAGTCCTCGTTTACTCCCACTCGACTACGTATATCATTATCCATTTTAGACATTGATTCTGTAACGGATGTGATGATATTCGTAGTTCCATCTATTGTAGACTTGCGGAATAGGTGTGGTTTCAACAGTATTTCGTTCTCGATTTCTTCTTTGTCGGCTGTGTGATCAGGTCGTCGCGACAGTGCGTCTGGCTTGCCCATAGTCTTTCCTGGGTGGTGGCTAAGTTCCAGATCGTATTCTTCGATTGTGAGTAACCATCGGACTTGTCGGGGGGTTAAGCGCTGAGGGTTCCGGAAGTATTCCAAGTTCTTGTGGTCTGTCCATACCTCCACAGGATGTGCCGCTCCGAGCAGGAAGTGTCGCCATTCGTCAAGTGCGTGAATGACTGCGAGCATTTCTCGATCGTAGATCTGGTAGTTCCTCTCCGCGCTGGTGAGGGATCTCGATAAGAATGCTATCGTTCGCCAGTGTCCATCTTGCTTTTGCGATAACTCGGCTCCTAGTGCGTAGTTTGAGGCATCGCACTCAATCTTGAAGGGATCCGAGTCGTTAGGAATAGCGAGGACAGGTGCGCTTGTGATCAGCTTCTTGATAGCTTCGAATGCACTCTGTTCTTCGTTCGTCCATTGCCACTCTACGTCACCTGTCAAGCGGTTCAGTGGTCCAGCTGCTTTGGAGAAATCCTTGATGAAGCGTCTGTAGAAGTTGGCAAAACCTAGGAAGCCTTGAACATGTTTCTTACAGGTGGGTGTTGGCCACTCCGTCACACCGGCAACCTTTGCAGGATCCATCTTGATGATTCCTGGCGCTATAATGTGACCTAGGTATTCGGTTTCTTGTACCTCGAATTCGCACTTCTCCGGTTTACAGGTGAGCTTGTTCTTTCGCAGTATCTTTAGGACTTCGCGCACCACGCGTCGGTGTTCTTGGAGATCCTGCGAGAGTACTAGGATGTCGTCTAGATAAACAATGACCTTTCCCTGTAAGATGAGGTCGCGGAAAATGTCGTTCATCATCATTTGGAAGGTTGAGGGTGAATTCGACAGCCCAAAGAACATGACAGTTGGTTCGAATAACCCTCTGTTGGTGATGAAAGCCGCTTTCTCCTCGTCTCCACCCTTCATGCGGACATTGTTGTATCCCCATCGCACATCAAGCTTTGTATAGTACTTAGCTCCTTTTAGGCGATCGAAGATGTCCGACATGAGGGGCAACGGGTATTTGTTTTTCTTGGTCATTGAGTTCAATTTGCGATAATCTTGTACTGGTCTCAGTTTGCCATCCTTCTTTTTGACGAAGAAGAAGGGAGCGCCCCATGGTGACTTAGACGGTCGGATACGTCCAGTGCGTAGGTTCTCGTCTAAGAACTCATCTAACGCTTTCTGGTGCTCCCGGGGCATGGGATAGACTTTCCCGCAGTAGGGCTTGGCGTCGGGTAGGAGTTCTATGGCGTGATCATACGGACGTCGTTCGGGCAAGGTGTTGAACGTACTGTCTTCAAACACGTCTCGGAAGTCATGGTAGTGTGTAGGTACCACGTCTTCAAAGGTTATGGGTGCGCGATTCTTGCTCTGTTCTATAGCGATATCCATAGCCACTGATGCTCTTCGTGCGTGCATATACGCTGGTACGTCTAGCATGAAGACGCGCTCGCCCTCATCTAGTACGTGTTCACACGTGTGGGGACAGCGATTGAATTCCACAAGTTTCTTTTGCCAGTCTATGACTGGGTTGTGGTGCTGGATCCACTCGTGCCCGAGGAATAGGTCGGCTTTGCCTAGGTCGGTTACTAGTAGATGCATCATCTCGCGGTGGTTTCCGACCGTGATGAATACTTCCACGTAGTGGGTGATACTTCCTCCTATGTTTGGCGTACCGTCCGCATTGTGTACTGGTATGGGTTGTCGTATGCCCGCATGGTTAGACCAGCTCGTCGTACGAGGTCACGATGTATGCAAGAACCGGTGCACCCGGTATCTAGTAGCGCTTGTACCCGTGTTCGTTTGGTGGTTTCGGGGTTCTCAAGTTCTAGAGGGATATCCATCTGACGCTTGGAACCGAGAGCTCTAACCACTCCAAACAGTTTGGGTCCGATCCGGTTGATGCCAAAGGCGTTGGGTGTGTTTGGTTCCGCTGCACTCGGAGTTTTCGTTATTTTTTTGATATTAGGGAGAGAATTAAGCACGGATTCCCGTCCGCCACGCTTCACTGGTGAAGACGCTCTCTCGGTAGATACATAAGGAACAGAGGAGTCTACAGGGTCCGATTGGTCTGGGGTTTCGTATACCGGGAGACAAGCGAAACGGTTCTTGGTGGCTATGTTACATTGAGGGAGAACAGAATTGATTACGAGGGGGGAACGGGGTCGTGCAGCAACTCCGTTCCGAACGAAAAACCCTGCGATAGGAAGTCTTCGGGCTCCTCGGCGACCCAAGCGCGTATGGCGTCGACAAACTCTGAGCGCTCGGCGGTTTCCCACGAACGCAGCGTCTGTGTCGGGCGGTTCGGGATATGCCAGGGTGATCCGCACGTGCCGGCCTGGTCTTTCCGCGCGCCGCACTCAGGCTTGCGGCACTTCTGCGCGTTCAACCTGTCGATATCCATAGGTTGACCGTGTCCTCCGTAGGTGGTGCCGGTGTGATCGCGACGGTCCGATCGCGCGTCATACAGTGGCCGCGAGGGCGCGGGCCGGGGCGGTACCTCGGCTGTGCTAGTCTTCGTGTTCGCGCGTGTGGTGCTGCCCGTTGCATGAGTATCACGACGCATGAGGTTGAAGTCGCGATCCGCATCATCAAGATCAGTGATGCGCGTCTTCCATTCCTGATACGTTGTCGGCTTTTGGTGGGAGCGGAAGATGTCCTTGAGTAGGTCGCCGCGCACTTTGTGTAGTACCATCTCGATTATACTTGTGTCCGTGAGCGTGAGGCCTGACGCGTATACCAACCGCTCAAATTCAGTGAAGAAGTCTTGCGCGGTCATGCTGCCTTGACGTACTAGGGTGAGCTCATGGTAGGCGCGTCGTTTCGCGTTTCGGTCCAAGAACACATCGTCCACCGCGGTCCAGAAAGCTTCGATGTCTGCGAAGGTCCACCGGCCATTGGCGTAATTGGCTGTTCGGAACGCAGCTCTCCATTGTTCCACCGCGCGCGTTCCGCGCATGTAAGAGAGCACGCACCCAACAGTGTCTTCGAGGGTAAGTCCTTCCACAATGATCCTCATCTCATCTCGCCAATTGATGTACTTGGTTCTATCTCCTGCGAACGCTTCTGGGTCTTTGCGCTTGACTTTTGGGGCCGAGACCGCGGCGTTCACGGTGACAGGGGAAACAGTAACTTGTGCAGGTGTGGCGGCATGGTTTGTGAGGAGTGTGAGAAGCTGGAGCACAGAGGCGAACTGTCCCGGGTCGATCGTTGCCATTTCTGGCATTGTTGGTGGTACAACTGGTGGCGGAGTTCCGTCTGCGCCTTGATCAGGTTCGGATGCGGCGTCGCTAGCGTCGGCCTCTTCGGGAGGGGGTGTTGCAGGTGGATCGGCGGTGTTTTCGTCAGGGTCGACGAACGTCTCTTCTTCTTCTTGAGGTTGGGTGATTTCTTCCCAGCGTGCGGACGCGAAGATGAAGCGCTGGACGCCGCTGGTTGTGTCGTCGTATCTGTGCGGGCAAGGATTGCGTTCACAGCGCTGAAGCTGGCGGCTGCTTTCGGGTCTGTGCGCGTCGTAGCTTTCTTCAACGTTGTGCGCGTGGAAGCGCCCTGCACACCGGAGTTGTCGCGACAGATTGAGGGAGCGTTGTTTGCTGGAGTTTGAGCGGTTCGGGCAAGTCGGGGGGCAGGCGGTTGAGCGCTTTTCGCGTGGGAATTGATTTGGGAGGCGAGGTTCTGTCTACACGACTGTCTGAACCTATAGGGCGTGGAAACGCAACTGGCGCTCAAGGGTAGGAAGGAGATGGAGAGTGCGCCGCGTTCGTAGGTATTCCAGGTACTCTCCAACTGGTAGTACGTGTAGAATGAGACCAAACTGTAGCGTGGGGGTGAGGGATTGGAAGTGGAATGCGTTCTGCTGTGGGTCGAGGTTGTCGAAAGTGGCTACAGTACCCAGATCTCCGGTGATGGAATCTTCAGCGAACAACGTGAATTCAACGCGTCCGTTGGGGAACCAATCAAAGCGGTAGAGTACGTGGGTGTCACAGCCGTCGGTGGTGTATCGGTAGGCTGTAGCGGTGCCGGGAGGGGCGTGTGGAGTGTTACACTCCGCTGTAAACCAGTAGGCGTCGTGCCAGCTTACAAGGTAGTCGTTATCCTCGTTGAGCGCGTCTGTCGAAAGCTTGTCGCGGAGGTCTCCGGCCGGGGTGCCGTATTCAAGGGGCTCGTCGGTCCGGATGCAGGTGAGGTTGATGAGATCTTCGTATTGTGCGGGCGCAAAGATGGGGATGCCTTCGCGAAGGTTGTAGTAGTCTTCAAGGCGTCGGAGGCCGAAGCGGAGGTCGGCGTGGTCTCCGGCGATGTCCCAAGACTCGGGGTAGTTGACGTTGATGCGGTGTAACCACGAACGGGTCGCGCGATCGCTTTCTTCGAGTCGTTCGGCGTCCGCGAGCGGGTAGGCAGTGCGGTCGATGTGTAGGAAGTGGTGGAGGTGGAGTTGGTTGAACTCGCGCACGCTAGGTTCGCGTGCGTTGGGAGGCGGAAAGTGTTTGAGGAGGTGAGGGCGGCGGATCTCACGCGGCGGAGACGCGGCGGAGGAGTCGGCGAAGATGTCCTCGGAGAGCGAGGTAAGCGGGAGGATGGAGGATTCACTGTACGCGGACACTGGAGACAGGTCGCGTTAGCGTACAAAGTGTGGGGAGGTTTGGATGGCCGTACTCGTGTGATCGCGCGCTGGATTCCGCGGCGAGGAGGATTTGAGTAGGCGGGGGTTGGGTAGAAGCTGCTTATGAGACGCCTTAGCGCGCGCGGCTATCTACGAGATTAGATAGCGCACCGGCCGAGACTCGCGAGGGAGATTGGAGGTACGAAAGCCCAAGCAGCTTCTGGAGATTGCTCCTCCAGAAGTGCGCTCTTTTATATTCGCTGTCTACCATGTACATGAGTCAACATGAGTCGCTCGCGCGCATACACGCTGCAACGCTAGCTTGCCTGCTTGCGCTCACATGTCGCACAGAGTCAACGGAAATACAAAGAACAAACGCGCGTGAGGCGCGAGGCATCTTCGTACGATACTGGAAGGAGTAACTACGTAGTCAGGGCCTGGGTACGCTCCAGGCACGAAGAGCAACGTGCAGGAGCGCACTGTAGCCAGCAGCGGCCCGGTCGGTACATGAGGCGCTCAAGTGAGCTCTTGAGCGACGCGCGGTAGCCTCGTGGCTGGGCGTCGGGACCGCGCGCCCCGCTTACTAACACCGTGACTGGCGTGATTACCGGAAAAGGGAAATTTCCGTAACACCTCCCCTCTTCCCTTGCTCTTCTGTCATCCACCCATACAGATGAATGCATAACCGCTGTGCGGATAGCGAAACCTACGATTACGCAAGAGCAACGCCGACAGCGCGTCGGGCTTCGGATGTCCCTGCCGCCTGTGCGATGGATTCCTCACTGCTGGTATAAAGGATCCTCCAATACCACTACCGCTTTTATTCAGGCGAACCACAGGATACGCTTGAGCCGTGTGTCTCGTCAGTCGTGAGTGATCCTATATTCGAATTCTGCGCACACTCGCCACTTGCGCACCTCCTGTAGGTCCTTCTGCACCCCTACGCGATTAATCGCGTCGTGCGCACGGTGTACGGTTTCGTCCCCCATCCGTGGGAGAGTCACACACAATATGTGAGCAGGATGCCGCGGTCTGGGAGACGAGCACGCGCACGATCCGGACGGGGCACGTGTAGTGACTGGACCCAGAGCTGGAGAGGAAGAGCGATGGATTGCGAGAAGTTTGGCAGGGCGGTACAGGTTGGAATGACGCAACGCCGAGTTCCATTATCTTGCGACGGCAAAGTGCGACTAAGGGAGAGGTCGCCACAGCGGTACATACACGCTTGTCACCCCAGCAGCACCCGAAACCTAGCATGCAGCGTCTCGATCATCTCGAAATCCCAACGAGCAGAGGCGAATGAAGCTTCAATCGTCCAACTTCCCCGTCCAACGCGTCGGATGTGTGGCTGCCCCTTTGATGTGCTGATATGGTCGGTCTCGCACGAATGCGCGGACCTGTTCCACACCTCGGAGCAGTTGGCGCGCGCGTGCCAGTGGACGACCGCAAAATGTGAGGGTCTGTAATACCCACGGGCAACTTCCACAGGGCACTGTCCGAGGACGATGCGAAGGGCCCCGTGGCCGTGAGGGAACGAGAACAGGAGCACGAGCAGCGTGTCGGCCGCGCGCGCCCACGGCGCCGGCGGGAGCGCGCTGTGGTACAGGTCGAAGGCGAACGGCTGCAGGGCGTGGAAGTCGGCGGCCGCGAGGCGGAACGGCGAGCCGGGGTCGGATGTGCTCGCGCAGAAGGCGGCGAGCTTCGCGAGGCCGTCCATCGGCATCGGCGCGCAGGTGCGGTAGGAGGGCCGGGCGGCGACGCACATGTCCATCATCCGCCAGCGGGCGCTGGGGATCTCCTCGTCGATGTGGACGGAGTGCCACCGCGCGGGCTGGTAGAACGTCGCGAGGGAAGTTTGGGACGGGCGTGCGGACCTCTCGAGCACGAGGTAATGCCGCCTTGAGACGGAAGTTTCCTCGCGCTGACAGTAGGTTGTGCAGAAGATGTCGACGAGCACGAAGAATCCCTCGACGTCGATGTTCAGAGCGGGAGCGGAAAGGCGTAACCCGTCCGGCGTCGTCGTAAATGTAGGGATCTGTAGCCGAGAGATGGTTGCACCAAATAGCACCTGCGAAATTAACGAGTGAGGGGCGATTGGCAGAGTAAGTATACTGATAAATATACCTCTTTTTCGTGGATTGACATACGAGTATCGGCGTCATACTTCAATGTGTTGCACTGAGTGAAATGCGCTGGAGAGGAGGGAAGGATGTGACGGCTAGTGGAACTTTGAGTGGAGAGAGTGGAGAGCAGCGCGTCGAGATCAGTGTAACTCGATGGCCACTGCCAGAGGAACAGAGAGGGGTCCCTTGAAGTCTTCATGATCTCCTCCAGTAGGCGATAGAAGGCGTTCTCGCTGCCTTCTCCGTAGAGCGTCGGCATGTTGACTCCGAAGATCCCGAACAGACAATACGCGGCATCTTCGGGCCGGGTCGTCACCCTCTGCGACGCCCAAGACATGCGAGTCGCGATGCTCATATCCGTGATCGGCGTCTCGAAACGAAGGACGGGTGCAGGGATGTCGGTGGACTCCGCGAGAAGAGTCGAGAGCTCGATCTTGTTCCCCAAAAAGACCCAATCCCGGGAGAAGAAGACGACAAAGGGAGAAGCAAGGAGCTCTTGCAACGTCCAGCCGCGCTCGTGCCACCTGCTCCTCTTGAACGCGTCCCGCAGATCCTGTGGATTTGATGCGTGCGATAGCGGCCCTGAGAGCGGCACGCCGTCCATCACCACGTCGCTGAGGTATACAACGCAGATGCTGGACCGGGCGTAGTAAGTGAACATGGAATTGATGGCCTCGGTGAGCTCTGCGCTGCTCGTTTTGTCGATGCAGCACGTGTCGACCCAGGCGTACTTGTAACCAGCCTTCTCGGCACGTTCGAGGAACTTGCTGACCTTGTGTGAGAGGCGATCGCGAGGGTTGAACCATGGTGGAGCGGTTGGATTGTGTGGGGGCTCCTCGCCGCTTGACGAGAAGTGCACGGATAACAGAGGCAGGGGAAGGGAATTATCGGTGTCTCCAGAGCTATCGGCATGATGGGACGCTCCCAATGGAGGGTCTGCGGGTTCGGCGTCACGTTGGAGACGGCCCGTTGGCTGTGCATGGAAGCCGTCATCGTCTGCAGTGTCCTTCACCGAACGAGAACGCGACGCTCGAGCGGCGGCTCGTGGGCGACGAGACCATGACTTGACCTGAGCAGTCGCGGCAGAGAACCACGTGCGGCGCGTGTTAATCTTGTGCTCGGGGAAGCAATCGTCACTTTCTAGGCTATCCGGGAGGGACGTTGACGAGTGATCGACGTTTTCCGATAACTGATATCGCGACTCCCTGCGAGCGGAAGACAACGACACATGCGATCGACAGTTGTGGATATGGTCGCTCTTAAACAGAGAACGCGTGAGATTAAACGTGGAAGAAGTCACCAGTGTTTGCGACATACTGAAATGCTCGAATCGATGTCGCGGTGCGCTGAAGTCCTTGAGTCGATGGTCTGTGACACATAGTTGTGGAGCTCTTTGCGAGTCAGCGATAGTCGTTCGAGGGGAGACGACGCCTGATTGGCCTCTTTATTCAATAGCTGAACGTTTTGAAAGGTATCTTCGTCGTCTTGCCAGGTGTGAGAAAGGATCGCGAAGCCTCCCGGGACGTCCTCGGTACGGGGAAAGAACACGAGGTTGGCGCGAGCGGTACCAAGCAGCCACATGTCCTGACAAAGGGTCAGCAGTTCAATCGGGATACAGAAGACAACTGGCGACGCGTATACTCACCGACGGGCGGCGCACGGAAGACACCCTTGTGAGCAAAAGGCCACGCGGGGTACTTATCGCCAGCTGGCCCACGCGCTCATCAGCATCGAAGCCAGGGCATGTTTTCGCACCGCGCCAGCAATATGTGTACCTGTATCCCACCTGGAGCGTGTTATTTCCGACTGCATCGGCGCAATCTTGTGTTTTCTCCGAGGTCTTTCAGTCTTCAGTGCCTATGTCGGCGCAACATCTAGACGCGTACCATACCAATACAGACTGCACATGGATTCGAGATGGTATTAGCACCTGCAAATCCACGGGTACAGCCACTTGAATGCGACCTGTGAACGGATCATGGGTATCCACCTATAACTGTAAGCAGAGGAAATCTGAGGAACGCACCACAGGCGATGAAGATAACAAAGGGCGGATGAAATTGGGAAGAAGGCGACTACTAGAAGGCTCCCGAGTCCCAGTGATGTATCCGTGAGAAATTCCACGTGTACATGCTAGCATATCCTTCGAAGCGCCCAACTTCGAGACCTCCTCCTCCACTAGAATACGTGTACTCGCACCGAAGCTTTTCTTTCTTTGCGCCTTTGTCTTCCACGGAGCACTGGTACACACACATTGTTTGAACCATAAACCTCACACAGAGATCAAGTGATGATGGCTTCGACAAGTGAGCTTCGCAAACCTTGTACACCGATCCACCGACACCCTGGCTCGGCACCATAAGGCCTTTATCTAGCTTCCGATCCCTTTTTATTTCGCGCATATACAAACGGACATGTTAAGAAGACGCCCTAGCACCGAACCTCTCGCTGTTGGTAACAGCATACGGAGTGTCCTCAACGCATTGACAGTCGTGCCAGCTCCCATCGCGCAGCCTTCTCTTCCGCCAGTTCTTCGGAAACGTGATACAGCCCGCGTTGCACTTGAAGCCTGTCCTGTGCCGTCGACAAATACAAGAATGCCTTGGAGAGGCATTGGATAGGAGCGATCAGACGAGGGCCCCTTCGTTCAGTGCCTGAACTCGCTGGAGTGTCCTCATTTCCCTCCGTGGCCATCGACTTCCGCGCGTGCGATAAGATTGCGTATCCACCCGGAACGTCTTTCGGACGGGGGAAGAATGTGATCACTGCTCGCGCAGTGCCAAGCAGCCACATCTCACTGTTGAATCGAGGCTCAGTTCGCCTACGATGCGCAAGTTGCGCGCCAGCTCCTGACGAGACCGAGCCAAAATGCGATTGTTTAGTCCCGTGGAGGCAACAAATGACGCCTGCTTCTGGAAAACACCGATTCAGCACTCTGCAAAAGTTCGAGAGCCGAAATGAGAGTGAATTGCAGGGTCGGATGGCGGAGCAAAAGGCGGACGCCGGGAACAAATTCGTCGCTCGCGCTTGCCCGGGATGGTGAAGCGCGCGGGTCTTGAATGGGCGTCGGAGATTTACTTCGCAATTCATCCGAGGGCGCTCTCGGCGCGATGGGAAACGGAGGGTATTCAAGTACTGCATCTCGACTGCATGGCGACTCGGGTCCAAGTACTGTATACTCGGAAGCCGAGCATACGGCTGCGGCACGCGGGTGAATCTACGGGACATGCGTAAGAGAAACACAGCGTAAGCACTGCCCAACACAGCGAGACGACGGGCGTCCAGAAGGACGCAACCGGCGTTCCTCGCTCGCCGCGCCTGGTAGACCGGCGTCCGAGAAGAGGGACCTCCGTTAATACCGCAGTCGGCGGTATTCCTGCTAACGACGCCCCGTGCGAGGAGAAGGGATGGAGCGGGTCACATCGGAGCACGTGTATGCGTCTTGCGCTGCGCACTGGTTCTGTGATGGTGTGGTGAGTAAACAGTGGACGCGCGGGCGGCAGGAGCAGGGTCGAGCGCGGAGACGTCGCAATAAGAGTGGTAGCCGACCGTCGTGGCTTGTATGGCCATTTGTAGTGAGGTAGACCGCACTCGCGGCAGCGCGCGCGAGCTAAAAGAAGAAGATGGTAGTAGGGCGCTGCGACGCTGGCTTGAGGGAAAAAGCAGAGCTGCAGGGTGAAACGGTCACTGAACGGAGACGCTGCAGTATGCATCGACCGTATCGGCGAGGCGGTTAGCACCGCCGCGCTGAACCACGAGGCATGGGATGTACCCCTCCGGCTGGGTGCCTTAGACAAGAGCAGTCAGCTTGCAAGTGCGGCGTTAACTTCAAGGCCCCACTCACCTGAATCCACGCGCACCTCCCCGCCGCGGCGCCCGTCCTGTCGTCCGCATCCGCAGAGCGACGTTTATAAATCACCGCAGGTCGGAAGGCATCCAGAAAGACGCGAGCGAAGACGTCGGAACAGCGCGGAGCGGAGCGCGCACAGGCGCCTTGCACGGCCCAAGGTTCTGTGATTCGATGCGGTCAGGGTAGAGCGGACGTGCGAGCGGTACGTACCGAGCCAAGCGCGCGGACGTTCAAGGGAGCCGAAGTTCGAGGCGTGGACGGCCGCCAAAGTTAGCATGACCATTGGGGGTAAGGTAGATCGTACCCGCCGCAGCGTCCGAGTGGCTTCAGTACCGGGCGAGACTAAGGAGTGCAGCCGCGACTGAACGTTGAACGTTGGGACTGCAGGCATCTATGAGTCGGCCGAGTCAGCGCTGCGACGCTGCGGCAGGCGACAGCGGCCTCTGCAAGACATCGCAGGCAGCGTGTTCTTGAAAATCGAGTCGGCTTGCAAGCGCAGCTTCCTCGATGATCCCACCGACCCAGGCCCGCCGCCTCCCTCGCCGCCGCTGCGACCCGTCCAGCCAACCGAGGATGGAAAAGCGCGCTCGCGGTGCACGACGAGGGGCGTGCGCGCGGCGCGGCCGCAATCACGTCACCGATGGACGATCGATAACGTCGAGGGGGCAGGTGACCTGCGGCGGAGGGCCTCGCGCCGTTCACGAGCCGCGGCCCCGGTGGGAAAGGTGGGAAGGGGCGCGCGGAAGGGAGCGGAGAGCAGGCGGTCCGTGGGGGGCGAGCCAAGGGGTGTGAGTGTGAGCTGCAGCTGGTGCGGGGGAAGGGAAAGGAAGCGCCGCGCGCGTCGGGTGGCCTCGAGGCGGGGACGTGGGGCGGGTGCAGAGTGGCAGGACCGTCTTGGGTGCATTTGGCGCGACCTCGGGAGTTGAACGTTTGAACGTTGGATGACGAGGAGGAGAGCGTTGACCTCAGAATTTAGCATGGCCGGAAGACGGTGCAGACATCTGAGGAGCGTGGTCGAGCGACGGGTGTGGGCTATCGCGGGAGCGATGCAATAACAAATACGGAGTGAGCGAGGCGTAGGGCGGCGACTGGGAGAGTGGTGATTAGTGAGCTGAGTGTCGGCAGAACGTCATGGAGGCAGCAGGCCAGACTGTATCGGGCAGTCGAGTGAGGTAATGGTCCTTTGGTGCGCTACAGCGCGAGATGCAGCCCGAAGCGGCGTAGCGGGAGCCTGGAGGACATTCGGGACGCCGCCGAGCCGGCACTGCTTCAGGGTGTGCTCGCAGCTGTATAGAGCGCGCGGACGACCGCAGGAGTGGTCATGGGCGGCGAGGGAGGGTTATGCGGGACGAACGACACCGAGAGAAGACCGCAGTGCGCGCCCCCGTCAGGGTACATGTGTCACGTGCATGTGACGCAACAGAAACGAGACGCGAGAGGTTTGAAGGCCTAGGTGTCGGTCTGCGGTCGCAGTACGCCAAGGGGGAAGGCTTTGACTGCTCCTCCTTCGCGGGGCAAACCCAGTGTGGCGTTCGAAGTCGAGGGCTAGCACAGAGGATGCGCGCGCCGAGCAGATGCCGGCCTGCGCGCGCGGAGGACGCCGCGCCGTCCCCACGTTGCACGCGCTTTCCGCGGCGGTGCGACGCGGATCGTCCGCACTGCGTATGGACTCCGCGCCGCACGAGGCCGCAAGAAGCGGCGGGGCGGGGGGTGGAAGCGTGACGCCCCGGCAGGTTCCCGCCCGGCACCCTGTTCCCCGCGGTCACGGGTTCGGTGATTCCCCGAGGGATGCGGGCTGCGCGAGCGCGCGGGGATGGGAGTGGCTGGCTGGCGGAATGAGGGCGGGCCCGGATGGTGGCTCGTCGACCGAATGCGTGCGCGCAGGGCGCGATGGTCCGGCGCAGGCGCAGCGTTACGTACGCGCGCGCGCCGCCGGAGAGCCGCCTCGCGCGCGGGCGCGGCAGACCGAGTGGAGGTTGGGTGCTGATTGCGCTGTGCGGTGTGTCCGAGGCGGCAAGTCGCGGACTGGGTACGTAGGCACGAGGCGGAGAGCGCGAGTCGCGACGCGGCCGGCTGACAGAACCTTGAAGCTTCAGACGCAGCAGCGCCGTGTGTACCGGGCGCGTTAGAATGCCGGAGTCGAGTCGAGTCGGGGCCGGCGGTGGTGGTGGCCGGGGCGGGTGAGGCGTCGCGGGCTGAACACTGACGGTGGCGACGGGCGAGATGGGAAGCCCGGTGGGCGGCGGCGCGCGACGACGGGCGGTGGGAGCATGTGGTCACCGACAGCGAGGACTGACGTGGGACGCGGGGCGTGGACGGTCAACGGCGGGTGCAGCGCGATGGTGGGACGCGCGCACGGCGTGCCCGGGGCGCCCTGGACAGGCGCTCAGGGACATCGAGAGCGCGACACCGCCCGCGTGGGGTTAATGAGCAGTGCGGGGAGGCAAGCTGCAGCCAGTTCATCAGCGTTGTGTTAAATGAACGTCGTGATCGATGTACCTTGCAGGGCGAACCTGGAATTGAGCGTGGGCGCGCGAGGGTCCGAATGATGCGCGCCGTTCGATGCGAGCAGAGGCGCAGCTCCGGAGTGCTGTGTTCAATACTGTGTTGCCCGGATCAGAGGCTTGCAGGCTCGACAGAGATCGCGATACAGACGATAGCTTGGTAAAGACGTTGAGGAGATGACGATGTGGACATTGAATCCCTGCGCAGTGCCCGCACTGTCGCCGAC